ATAATGATAATGATGATGATGATGATGATGATGATAATGATGATGATAATGCAGATCTTCGAGCATCCTTACGTTCCCATAAACATTCCCCATATGAGATCTTCGTACTGCCAAGCTCTTCTGAGGCCTGCAATTTGCAGGTAGAAAATACCATCGTCCTCTAACATGTTGTAGACCTGTGGAGGACCGATATCGAGGGGCTCTTCATAACGCGATCTGACTTGGTTCATGAACTTGGGGAAATTCTTCACACCAACGTGCTCGGCCATTTCAAGGCAAGTTATTTTATCCCAGCGCTTGTTCCTGTACACACAAGTGACTCCTATGGTGACACAGTAGTGATCAGTCGTACTTGGGGATATCACGATAATCACAATATAAGAAATCAACCTTATCGGAAGGCACTCCAGCTTCCTTCTGCTTGCCCTTAGCCCAGACTATTTGCTCCTTAGCAATGGTCACGGCAGTGCCTGCACATAGGGTAGAGGAGGAGATAGGGCGTAGGGCGGCTTACTGTGGCATCCGTAATACTTGGCGGCATGTATAGCCAGAGTTCCCCAACCACACCCTATATCGAGGAGTCGTTCACCTGAGAGAGGGAGGAGGGAAGGCCTGACCGCGCGCCACGAAATTCCTCCACCATACCCTGTTGGAGCTGGACTTTGCGGCAAACGATATCGAGCTTGTTGCGTTGGGCATCTTCGAGTGAATCTTTGTAAGATGAAAAGATACCACTAGTGTAACTGAAGTGAGGGGTAACGACTTGTGGTCAGTGCAGAGGGGAATGACTGACACCATCATAGGGCCGAGAAAGGCCCGGTAAAAATCGTTGCCTCTGTCGTAAGTGCCGGCAACCTGAATAGATAAGGTGACGATGGTGACACATGTGGTGACACACTTCTTCTATGTCCATCTCTTGGGCGTGGCTCATGCCTTGAGGCAAGAAGCGGCCCAGAAGGAACCTTATGTGGAAGGGGGTAAAACACATTCGGAAAAGCTTGTTCTTGTGCTGTTCGAAAAGGGAACCTGAGGGCATAGACAGAAACACAGGGACGAAGTGGAGTAGCCTTACGAACGTCAACTTTGAGATCGACTCGGCCTGAGATGAAGTCCTCGTAGAAGGCCTGCATGGGGACTCTACTGGTGCCGTATTTGCCGCGAAGGGAGGGGTCTTTGAAGGAAAGCCATTGATCCCAATCGACAGGGGAATCTGAAAAAAAGCAGTGGGAACGTTGTAGGTGGGGAAGAATGCTCCTTACGGTCCTTGTCTGTGAGTCTACTAGTAGTCCACATAGTAGCCATGAAGGAAGCACCAGCGACGACCACGAGAGCTGCCAAGGCGGCTCCGCATTGTAGTAGCTGGGTGAATAGGGTTAGAAAGAGAGATGTGAGGGAGGATGGTACACCAGTGGTCTGAGGGAGGGGGAGGAGAAGGAAGTGGTCGTTGGGTGGCTTACTATGGTGCGGAGGACAGCGAGGACCACTACGATGACAGTGTAGATGGTTGGTAGTTGGGATAGGGTATTGACGTCCAGCATGGTGGCAATGAGGAACGCAACGCAACTTAATGATGATGACGATCATCGGCATCATTCAGCGGTGCATAGGCCTTCAAGAGCTCTATTAGGATTCGATATCGCATGTAAAAGTCGATCTCGGGAGCGCTCTTAGAACTTAGGTACCGAACACCCCAATTGAAAGGGCGCACATCGCTCCGCTCAGATTTGTGGAACGTTTCGACATTTTCAGCGCAAGTTTATTATTAGGCTTGGACATGTTTCAAGTCGCTTCGTAGAATCGTGTTATCGTGTGGAGGAGTAGCGGCTAATCTTAAGACGGGTACCGGTTCTGATTCTCGAGGCAATGGTCACTCCGCGGACCTCATCCGCATCTTTTACTGGGGAACCTCTGGATATTTTGTGGCCCCCTTCTGCCATGCACCGCCCTCCGTCCTATTCCTCTTCTAGCAGCAGTGGTGACACTTAAGGGCCGGATAGTGATCTCGTCTCACAGGTCTGATAGTGAGCTAGAGGTCAGTGATCATGAATAGGTAGTATCTTTAGGTTAGCATTATAAGATACGGAATAGGTCCAGTCATGGCCTATCCGTTTCAGAGGCATTCTTGTTGGTGTAACTGAGTAACCAAAAATAGATTCCAACACTGTGGCTCTTCCCTCAGGAGTGCCTTGCCGTATGCTGCATCTGCGACTATTCTACTAGAGGGCCAGTGAGGGACGTTTGGGCCCATATGAGGACCGTCGATAACGTAAATTCGGACCAACAATTTAACCTAGCGGATGAGTATCTTCGTATGAAACTCGTCAACTTTATGCGAAAAAGCGGCAGGCAGCTGACTGCTCTGTCTGAGCTGGAATGTGAACTGTGGTTGCAACCCGTAGTAGAAGACGATCGGTTTTTATTCGAGGAGTTCAACTGTGAGGAGGGTAGGACGCTAACTCAGTGCATCGTACAGACTAGTGTACAGGGGTTCATGTATCTTCCGAGAAGCTGGGATATAGGACGATTCCGCTGCAGCCTTTGATGTTCCTACAGAGCTGGCAATACTGTATATACAGCTTGGCAGTCTGCATGAGCGACCCTCGCACAGGTCTTAACAGTAGGGGTCCCTATTAGGGACATCACTGGGATGGGTTGAAGCAATAATATGCAACTAAAGAGGGTACAATAGGATTGCTGTTGAGCGTACTCGCTCTGTGCATTACTTGGGGGTGGATACATTGAGACGTGCCTTGAGGCGGAAGTGGGAGATAGTTAGAGAAAACAGCGGGTGAGTGACGACGGCTAGCGTGAGATGCACGGTGAGCTTTTGGTTGGATATTTGGAGGAGCTGATCGATCGTGGTCAAGACCCTTCGGCGGAGATTTCGATGGTATGCCTTGTCCTCAATTGTGTGTCGGTATATTTGTCATATTTGTTATGACATTTTCACGAGGTATCAACCGGTCAATCATAGATGCACGCGAATGCAGAGAGAACGGTGCCACTGGTCGAGACGCTGTTAGAGTAAGGGAGCCGGTAGGTGCGATGGTCGAACGCTCATGTAGTGAGACTTACTGTGATAATGTTGAAGTTCTACACCTTTTCACTCTCAAATTCAACAATTGAAAGAACAAATTAGATGGATGAAATTTGATTTTCGACGAGTGAAAGGAGTTTTTCGCGAAGTGGAAGTCCAAATTCGAAATGGAAGTTAAAATTTCGTTGACTTGTCGAAAACGAAAGTTCAAATTCGTAAATGAAATTTATGAATTCGGAAACGCAAGTTCAAATTCGCCGAACACAAGACCATTTTCGACCAATGAAAGCCCACTTTCATTCGATGGAAGGAAATTCTCGTCAGCGTCGTGCTGCACGACTCGTGCCACGGATCGACTTGCGACTCGCAAATTGCGAGTGCTGATGGTGCTCTACGGGCTGCATCGTAATGCTGAACAGTACAGTGCAATTCAAAAACTTGCAATGAAGGATTTTCAGAGATTCGAACCGGGAGATTGTTTGGGTTTGATTCTCCCATGGAGAATCTCCATTACCCTTCCGATGATATCAGAAGGACGATGGGGTCAGCACATGTTCGGTTCGATTTCCTGACCGCCGAACCGAACTTTGATCGACCGAATACCGAACCGGACCAACAGTTCGGGTTTCGACGGGCTACATCGGTCCCGGACCGACGGTCCGACGGACCGATGTGACGGTCACATTGTGACACAACGTTCCGGAGAACTACCCGGGAATCTCACTCAGTGCAATAACTGTTCACATTTGAGAAGTACCTCGAGCAATCTTCGCACATTGTGCGAGTTGTCAACTCGTGGAGTGTGAATAGCTCATATCGAGATGTGGTGGAAGTGCGTGTAGTGTGAATAGTGCATGTCGAGACGTGATGAAAATGAGCTTTCATTGGTCGAAATTGGTATTGTGTTTGACGAATTTCAACTTGTGTTTCCGAATTCATAAATTTCATTTACGAATTTGAACTTTCATTTTTGAATGGTCTACGAAAATCGAACTTTCATTTCGAATTTGAACTTTCATTCGGTGAAAAACTCCTTTCATCCGACTAAAATCAAATTTCATTTCTCTAATTTGTTCTTTCATTTGCTGAATTTGAGATCGAAAAGGTGTAGAGTTTTATTGGCCTCCCTTCCGGGAAGGACTGTGTGAATAGTGTGGGTGTGATTGAAGTATCACAGCTGGAATGGTCTAGTTGGTTATGACGATCGCCTCACACGCGATAGGTCCCGGGTTCGACTCCCGGTTCCAGTATTATTTCACTCATCACGAATTTCAGCCATAATTCTGTTCTCGAAGCTGAGAAGGCTTCCTCAGTTGCAGTGAGGATGATTAAAATATAGCTCGTGCATCTCGGCGTTTTGTTATCACCTCGCAGTAGCCGACACCGGTATATCAATTCAAGATGAAATTAGTAAGCTCAGAGCTAAGTAGTAAAAGGCAAGACACATTATCATTCAGCCCAACACCAATGAGTGAAAGCTTTTTAAGCTCCATATACGAAGCGAATATGAGAAAGAATATTCAATGCAAAACTCGGGCCGTCTCTCTAACTCGTATGCCAACATGCATGCGTGCAGGGATGCGTTTTGTCAGATATAAAGTCACTGCTCGATCCTCTGATGGTTTCTCGATCATCGCCGATTATTTGAGGCGTGTTGCATACATCTGTTTCGATTTTGTGAAACTGTGTGAGTTTCCTAATGTCTTAAATCTCTGTCGCTGAGTTGTAGGGTAGCCACTGTAGAGTCAAAATTTGCGAATTTGAAAATTTAGTCAGAACTTGACGACTCCATAAGCTATACTCAGCCGAGTTTTTCTTTTGAACATGTCAAGTGGATCCGCGTACATTCCAATGGATGCACGCCCGGAGTGGAAAGGAGTTCAGCCAGTGTTCCAAGATGACGGGCCAAAGCCTCTCGTGCAGATTCAGTATACAGAGGAATTCACGGTAATCAGCAGTAGCAGGATCATCGGCTGGGGTATCTAGGTGCCTGCTTGGAAGATCGTCAAGAATGTATATGCTTGTGTGGTGAACTATCAGGCCGTAGAAAATGCCTCTGTGGTTGCAGAACACTGCAAGTGGTGCTGGAACATAAGCTCGCTGCTCACCAGCACTACTGCGTTCAGGAGTTTGCTTAATACTCACAAAAATACGTACACAACTTGAATGTCCAGAGGTTTATCGAAGGTCCCTTAGAGTTTCCTTATTGCCATTAACACGCACAGTCGACCCTGTTTACATTTTCCACACTAAATGTGATTAGGATATTCACAACTACTTCCGAGCCATCCTGGAGAAGGAGGAGGTCAGCCGTAGAGCATTCGATCTGACTGCTGAGGTCATCGAGTTGAATGCTGCCGACTACACCGCGTGGTAGGGATGGAGTGACTGATCACATTCGCGAGCTACAGTGGTTTAGTAATTGCAATTGTTCGGTTCGAGCTGATCGTATCCCACTATCTTGTCGGTTGACAAGGAGAGGCTCTTAATCCCCCCCTAGGTACTGGCGAAGGAAGTGCTTGGAGGGCCTGGCAGATACCGAGCTCCTTCGAGGAGAACTAGAGTTCACACGTAATAGTCTAGATATGATCAGCGATGGTGACAAGTGCCTCAGAGGAATGGGCCACTGACAGTCCCAAGAACTACCAAGTTTGGTTCCATAGACGCTGGGTCGTGGAAAAGTTGTTTGAGAAGAATCTTCTCCTGAGTCAAGACGAGGTGGTCTTAGCTGTTGTCGTGGCTCAGCGCTACTGTTTTTGTATAGGAATTTGCGTTCACTGCTGAAGCTCTTTCGGGAGATGCTAAGAATCTTAATGCCTGGAGTCACAGGATGTTTGTGGTGAGGAAAGCAATGGAGTTAACTCTAGAATCATCGCCTTAGATCCACCTGTTCGGGCGGGACACTACTGTGTCCGGCTTGGAAGCTGAACTGGACATGAGCGCAGGCTTGCTAAGGAATGACTTGCGCAATAACTCGGCTTGGAACCATCGCTTTGTGATCTTGCAAAAGCTGGCTGAGATAGGTAACAACTGGGGATCGGAAGGTCGTCGGTTCGATTCCTGGTGGTGGCGTTTTTAGAACCTGAAAGCCTAGAAGATCGTCGAGAAGCGGAGATGCTCTTCGTTATGGAAGCATTGAAATTGACACCCAATAACGAGAGCCCATGGAACTACGTCATGGTGAGAGATCGGTCTATTTCATCATTCTAGTCTACAGTCATCAGGGCATCCTTTTCGACTATGCTCCGGAAGACCGACAACAGATCGCCCCACTGTTGGAGCGGGTACGGTCCTTCGCGCGAGAGGTAGGCTCATGTAACTCGATTTGCTTTTCCTGAGTGATGACTGGCATATGCCTAAACCGTCGTATAAGGGAAAATCTAGTCGAAAATGAAGTCATAGTATCCTCCCAGTTTTCTCTTCTGGATGATGCTCAGGCGGTTGACGAAGGTAGCCAACATGCCAACCTTCCCCCGAATAGATTTGCGCTGGAGTTCCTCGCTCGTGCGGCTTGGAAACACGATGGTGATTGTGCATCAGTAGGGCTACATACAATGCCTGCATTGTGACAGTTCCCTCCGTCAGGCTTTGTCGTATTACACTACACTAGCTGCCAGCGATCAAGTTCGGCAAGGCTATTGGAACCACGTGATGAAGCAGGTGAGGGAGTCTAGAGCTAGCTCTCAATAAACCAACGCTTTCTTTATCTTAGCGGTGTTATGTTATTAATGGCAATAGCATTTACTTGATAATTTCAATCGGCACTCCAACTTTTTGTGTAGTTGTTGACCTCAGCGCAAAGGGGAAATAGAATCGAAGGATGTTCTTGTTGAACTTGAACGACAGAATGGCCGTTAAAGTGATGGCTCAGTAGAAGGGCATTGTACAGACAGATAACTGTGATGTGAGCTCATTGGCAGTGCCAGCGGGGTGAATTCACGTCAAGACCATGACAGATCGGCGCACTGTGCGCCTGAATTTGAAGTGCCTTATTGATAACGCAAAGTGTAAGTAGATCTCAGAAGCCTAGATATGAAATTCCAGACCCGAATTCGAATCCCGTGCCTTGAACTTGCTAAACTTCCGTGTTCCTTCAATACATGTATACGATGCCTATTAGCTAGGTCGAAGAATTCAAAAGTGGAGAAATATTATAGCTCAACAGCGAAGGTGTATTGCTCTCCATCCACATACTCAGAACACATGGACACCGAACCAACTCCGCATGAGAGACCGCCACTAGAAGGCTAGCCTTGTACTTGAGGTGATTTATGTAGTGGTCTGCGTCGCTTAGCTCGGGGAATCTTCTACACTCCTTCGGATTCAGAGTAATGCTGCCAATTCCACAAGCAAATCTACTGGAGCGAGTCGTCTTCTACCTGAAACCTCTTCACCACTAATTGACTTCAGAACGGATGCGCTCAGCGAGTTCCTCAGTCAAAACTTTTGACTGTACATGACAGAGACCTCTAAGTGCCCTATAGTGACAGCGGTATATGGCTTTTGACTCGTCGGGAATTCCGAAAGCCCATCTTCTACCGTAGCAATCTTTTCTAGTTAAGAGCTTATAGTCTTCTCCTGTGAAGGCCAGAAGGCCCTTTTCCGATAATTCACCCCAAATGAACTACAAAGAAATCGTCAAATTCTAACGAGCAAGTTTGAGCTACAGAGGTCGTTTTTCGATGTGAAATTTTGTATGTAGGCTGGGAAGACCTACTTTTTTTCTCAAGGCACTTGAATTTGTGACGCAACCGTGCGACGCGCCTGAACTTTTCGCATCGAGTGGCATGCAATATGTCGACGAGTCGTCGACGACGACCACTATTAGGACTATATATCAGCCGCTGATAATCAGCGACAGGTACTTTATGGTAATGCACCTGCGCCGCGTACATTATCGGCTCGTCAAAGTTGCAGCACGATCATCAACGTCTCACTGATCTCTAGTCCCGCGTTGTGGTGGTAGCCTTCCTGAGCTTTCACCGTCAGTACCATCATGACTGGTCCTAATGCTGACCAAGAAGTCTCCTCACTGGACATAGTTCTGGAGGACGGTGAACGTATCGATTCATCGATGTCCGCTGCCACATCTCAACGCAATAGCAGCCAAGCCACTGAGACGATTCACTCCTTGTTTGGTGACCAGGAGGGCCCATGTGGGGCGTCGACAGAGAGCTCGTTGGCGGGTGAAAGCTGTACATCTCGGGTCCCCTATTGGAGCCTGTTCTTGAGCAGAACAAGAAGCTACATTAGATGCTCATACTGATGACCTGCATAACATAAATCTCGAGTTGACGAGAGAATGTCAAAAACAAGGCCAGCAACTACAGCGTGATAAAACGGTGTGGAATACGGCTCAGATAGAGTCACAGTATTGTTTGCATTTCAGTTCCAGAATGATTTGGTTAAGGACATCAACAAAGTGTGGCAAGAGTGTGTGGAGTTAGTCGGCCATGATAGGCTCATGGCTGAGTTTGATGCACAGAGACATGATGCTGATGCCAAACAAGATTGATGACTAGTCATCATTTGCGTTAAGAATTGCTGTTAATGCTAGCAATGAGGAACTCATTCCCTTCAAGAGATGCACCATCGGTGATGGCACACGGATCGGTGATGGCACCCGATGCTAGGACGGCACACGGAAGGAGAGATAGAAAAATTATTTACTTCTGAAGGAAATTTGAAATTTGAAGGAAAAATGAAGGAAAGATTAAGAGTCTGGCAGGTCCGAATGTCATTATCTGATTCGGCCAAGCTGCGAACATACGCTTCGCGCTCACTGATCTTTTTCATAGCTCCGATCGGCCACATGCATTCCATATCGTGGCAAGATATTCAAATTCATGAAATATGCACACTAAAGGGAACTCGGCCCGAATTATTCGGGCGCGGAGTGTAGTGCACTCCTCCGTAGCCATGAGTCATAACCCATGACCAGTGGTGATTAACCAGTTCTGCCTCTACTCTATGTTTTGGATAGTGTTCTACTGTGACACGTCTGGACTGTGTGTACTGCAACTCTCTGTGGTTGAAAGACGATGCTACCGCTGAAAACTGTCCTTGAGTGTATTGGTGGTGACATAGCCGGCTATTAGCCGGTACGCCAACGGGCGTGGTTCCCTGATAATGGGCCCTACGTTGCGTTGTGCTGTAGATTGCTAAGCAAATATCGACACCACGTTCGTCCCCGAACCAGAACGTGGGCATTCCTAGGAAAAAGTTGTAAAAAGCTTAGTTGAAAGTGCGCATCGAATTCACGCTCGACACGGTAAACCTTCAGTCATTCGGGCGAACCTTTTCTCTCCGTTATCCTTCTGACCAACCCATGAATAAGATCATGTACTCCAGGCAGCATTTGCAGAGATATCTCTCATTTTCCGACTTTTGTGATAGGAGAGCAGACACGGTAGCGTCATGCAGAATGTTCTACATTGAGCAAAGAGGACCCGAGGCACACGCAAGGGATGTCTGGACTCAGTCCTGGCTAGCTAATTCACAGCTCGGCACGGCTACTGGCGGTAGCATTAGAGTGTCCGGCTCAGAGACAATAATGTTCATCATAGACCTTCAAAATGGTTATCAAATTACGCTTAGGTACGACATCGATACGGAATCGCGCTCGCCCATGTTATCGATATGTCGACGAAGCCGACTACCCAAAGAGTCTTTAGTCCTTTTTAGTGCTGGAAGTTCCCACCAGGCTCTCTACTGCTCGAAAACCGTTGAATAGTTGCTGCGCGTCGATGCTCGGGTTCTGTTGAGGCCTCGAAAAACCAGTGTTGTGGGTTACAGTTGGGGGTAGGTTACAGCTGAGGTCATCAGCGTATCATCTCAGGCGCGATCATCAGTGGCTCGTCCTTTTCACGGCACTCGTACGATGTCTTTGTAGTTGTGTAGACTCATCATAACGATCGTAGTAGGAATCGGTGAAAATTGAGTTTCATAATAGGATCAGTGTTGACACTAAGCGAAGACCGATGAGCCGCAACTGGACATGCTTCGTATCTTCTTGGCCTGAACCTTAGATTCTCCTATCACAGTTTATCTTCTGCAGCTGAACTCCGTCGTATTTTCCATCATCATGTTCAAAGGCCCCGTGGGAATCCAATCACTTTTGAAGGACGGCACTCAGAGCTACGCCGGAGTTGATGAGGCCTTGCTGAAGAATATGGAGGCCAGCAAATACGTCTCTGAGATCACCAAGGTAAAACGGGAGGGCACCAAAACTGTCCTGTCCTATCGCTCATCCTCTCAGACTTCTCTAGGCCCCTGCGGTACCAACAAACTGATTGTCAACCATATCAACAAGCACTTTGTAACCAGCGACACTGCTACCATGCTCAAGGAGCTCGACGTAGGCTCACAGCGCATCGCCATGCATGATATGATATTTCAGATATTCCATCCGGCAGCCAAGTTAGTGGTGATGGCTGTCCAGGCTCAGGAACAGGAGTGTGGTGACGGTGAGCATCGGTACTGGGTGTAGGGTGATGCCGTTGTTTTAGCTACTAATTTGGTATCGATTATCATTGGAGAACTGCTTGAGAACGCCGAACAGCTGTTGAAGCAAGGCATTCATGCTTCGGATATCATCCGTGGATACGAGATGGCCGGTAGTACTCCTGTTAGCATTCCAAGGCTGATGATGAGGTCTGCTCAGGTGACCGTGTGGTTAAGTACCTAAACGATAACGATGATTTGGTTGCATATACCTTAGGGGATGTCAAAAGCGTGGACCAGGTAGGCACGACAGTAGAAGGCGTCAGTTCCTATTACGACGGTCGCTGTTCAGATCAGTACCGCCATCAAGTCTGTCTTGGGAGCAAAACAATATGGCCTTGAGGACACTTTGGTGAGGAGCAATCAATGCACGGCATTTTACTCTGTGCGATTCAGACTCGCCTCGTAGCAACTGCATGCTGCTCGGTTATGCCTGAGGACCCCAAGAAGTTTGACATCGATAACATCAGAGTGGCCAAGCTGCCTGGTTGCGGCAACATGTGAGTGGCCTCAGTCCGGCCTGCTCTTGTCATTGCTTCATTGTCAGTCACAATTCTACGTCGTGGATGGTATGGTCACTACTAGGGATACTATGGGCATCGAGAAGCATAAGAAGAACTGCAAGTTGCTGATTACTTATTCTGCCATCCCCCGCAGTATAGGCTCATGCTTAGGTCGCCGTATATGGCTGCGGTCTAGAGATGACTGGCACCGAGACTCAAGGCACGGTTCTGCTCGAGTCGGGTAAACAATTGATGGACTTCGCCAAGGGCGAGGAGAAAAAGATGGAGGAATTTGTAATGACAGTGTAAAACGATCATTGAGTGATGGTGTATTTTGTGTAGGTCCTGAGCTTAGTGGAAGCCGGCGTTGAGGCGGTCATTGTGGGAGGTTCAATTCAAGACATCGCCCTTCACTTCCTCAACAAGCATCATATCCTTGCTATCAAATGTGGGCTCTCTTGATGAGTTCATTCCAAGATCGTCATCATTTACAGGTACTTCCAAATTCGAAATGCGTCGTCTCTGCCGTACTTTGGGTGCTACCGGTATCGTCCGACTCGGCGCGCCTCTACCGGATGAGCTCGGCTATGCTGAGAGCATCGATGTTGAGGAAATCTCCAGTGCTAAGGTGAGGCGTAGTCTACCTTTTGAGGTCGGCCATTGAGCTGTCAGGTCACTGTTGTCCGAGCTGCAGACTCGAAGGTATCTACGATCGTCCTTAGAGGTGCTACTGGCAACTTCCTGGATGAGGTACTATCAATATGCGGCAGGCGATCGGATTTAATGGTGGACCGGTGCTCAGGTTGAACGCGCTATTGATGATGCAGTTAACGTCGTCCGATGCTGTGCTGTGAAGGGACAGAGAGAGTGAGTGCAGGGACTGGGATTAGAACCTGTGCGGATTGCTTCTATGCAGGTTCGTCGTTGGCGGTGGTGGATGCGAGATCTCTTTAAGTCTCGACATTGCCAAGTTCGGTCAGGAGTGCTCCGGTGAGAACTTCCCGTAAGCCTTTTCCATGACAATGTCGATTCTCGTCAGGTCTCGAGCAATATGCTGTTTTGAAATTCGCGGAGTCATTCGAGATTGTTGCGAACATCATAGCAGAAAACGCTGGCCTTAACGCCATGGACGCTGTCACAACGTAATGCACAGCTCCTTGAAAGCCACTGTCATAGCCCTCATCTGCTCAGCTTGAAGGCTGCTCATGCTTCGGGTAACAACCGAATGTGTGTCGATGTTGATGCACCGAACCGACGTGCCTCCCCAATCTGTGATGCTGGTAGTATTGCTCATAATCATCTGGGTCTGTAAGGGGCTTTTCAGTGTCCAAGTCCATCCTGGATAACCGCGGCATCAAGTCGTGGGCTATACGACTGGCCATTGACGCCGTATTGACTATCCTCAGAATTCAGCACATCATTGTCGCCAAGCAGGCCGGCGGTCCCCAGACCAAGGTAACCTCATCGTGGTCGCTGTGAAACCTATACGCTGGTGACTTAGGGAACTCCTTACGTCGATGAAGATTAAGACAAGAACGTATTCCTCCCTACACACCTGTCGCTCGAGAACTAGCATTGATATATCGTGTCTCTTAATTGCTATTGGGATTGTGTTGTGCCTATCTGTCGGAATACTGGAGCTTGGAATATTGTGGCAACGCAACAGATGAAAGGTCCCGAGAACCTGGTCTGCCATCCATGATTGTTCGTAGTTACAGATGGAACAAGCCAGCGTAAAAGAAACACCCAGCTGAGTATCAACACACAGGTCACTCAGCGATGATCAGTTCGATATTCGTATTAACAAGTCTCAAGTCTCAGTTTGTTGCATCTACTTGCTTCTCTAAGCCGACATAACAAGAGACAACCGAGGCTCAAGTGAGATTTATGTTCGATTCACTTTAAAACATCAATCCATGAGCCATTCGGAGCGTGCCATTCAGAAGTGACCTTCCACTATCAACACAACTGTATCATAAGATATCGAACACTGTTAAGTGACGATAGAAAATGTTGTTCAAATGGGAGGTGCTGCTAGCAACGACACTCCAAAAAACTAGAGCTCTTCGTATCGCTGTCGAGGATGCCCAACGCGGAACCTGAAGCAGAACGCCAGGAACTACATCCAACAATCCTTGTTAACCTACGGCAACTGTGTTCCACCGTTGATGACGCCGTCCACGAAGCCGTCGGCATCGTCGAACTCCTCAATATCAGATGTGGGCAGCTTATAACGACCACGCTTAGGCCGGTAACTGAAAGCATATTCGACACTACGTACTTCAAATGAGATGTGCTTGTTATTGGTTCGTCATAGATCATCAGGAAGGTCTCAGCGTTTTCCTGATAGTATCCATAGAGTCCCTAAATTTCTTGGGTAATACTAACATTTTCGGTCACTCATAGCGTGACGTTATTGAAGTCTAAATACACATTCTCGGGATACACGATTGCAGAGCTGTGGCATACCGACCCCAACTTGTGAAATCATGACAACTATGGCATAACGGCCCCAACTTGTAAAATCATGATAACTAGGGCATACCGACCCCAACAGGCGAAGTTATGACTGCTGGGGCATAGCGACAACGTGCGCAGTCATGGAAGGTGTGGCATAACCACCTCATCGTGTGCAATCATGACAGCTATGGCATAGCGGCCCCATGACACACACCGACGACAAATGGGACAATATCGGTAGATAAAGTCTCGGGTACAGAATACTTATCTATTGATAATTCAATTTGCCCAGGGACTTACGCGAAGAGGCGAGTGTGTGCCGGCAGGTCGAATTGATTCAGAAATGCTGAATCATCCCAAACCCACACGAACCGCACTGGATCGTTGCGATATCTGACAATAGATTCAGTGGGAAAAGTTGAGCGAACAAGAGGCGACTGACTTCTCTGCCAAGCGTTTGCCTATCGCCTTGAAATTATCGTCGGACGCATCGTGATGCTTCACAACTATTACGCAGAACTTCCCATCAATGTTTCGAGCCTTGAAGGGAATAGGAAGATCTTCGCGGCTCGCAGAAACACACGCCTCAAGCACTCACACATTCGCCCTGTTCCAACTTCTCTGCAGTGAGCTCTTTGAATGACGACGACTTGCTCCTTGCATGAGAGGCTACGTACAAAGTATGCGAAATTAGCTGACCGACTCATTCTATTACTCAGAACTCTGGTTAGGTAGAGCGATAGGACGTCCTTCGAAAGGGTACTGGTCAACTTGTCGCCCTGGAAAGTCGCGCTACACGGTAGAATCTCAAGAGAATCTCTTGCCCACCTCCAACGTTTCTTCATCGGTGATGTGATAGACAGTAGGCAGAGAAGTTGCATTGATGGTCTGCGCCAATTTACTGTTCAGATCGGCCGACAGCACTACTCCAATGCTGATGCCTAAGGTTGGAAAAAAGTGAGTAATAATGTATCGCTTCGCTCTTCTTTCACTTTTTCTGAATATCCTAGAATAAGCTTTGATGAGAGGTGGCATAGCTTTCTTATCGCTCAGTAAAAGCACCTTGGCTCGATCATCAGCCGATAGCCACCTTTTTAATGACCTGCAGCAATAACCAGTGGGAATGGATCCCAAAAAGCCATCACGCAGTACTTGTCGATATGAGCTTGACTGAGGAGCGTGGCATGACTTGGCATCTTTTCAGATATCCACCGAGAGAGATGCTTATAGTTGCGCTTCTTTGATGCTGGGAATTCAATGGGTGTCGTCTCATCTGGCTCACCGTACCTGAATAAGATGTATATACAGTACTCTCTACTAGTGATAGTATCGAGCATAGATCTGTGTTTCAAGTGTTAAGCGATGCACTGAGACAATTCTCGGTCAGTTCCAAATCTGCGCCTCCTATGCGATATCCCTCTCGACATTCTACCACATCTCGTCAAGGGATGATTCCCTCATCCTATATTTTCCAACTTCCAAATGGGCACATTCCCCAAACCGCACAAACAGACGCCAATCGTCTACCACGATTTCCCTACATCCTTATGGTGGGATAAGCCTTAATTCCAGCCTCCTGACAGATCTCTTGCTCAGTCGCGCAGTTCACCGCTGCTATCTGCGAGTGATTCATCCCTATCGACCGAGCTAACTCAATTCTCACTGTTATGATTCCCTCATAAGTGTCAGCCAGCTTCTTATAGTCGCCAACGACTTCCCTGAAAGTCATGTGGCTGCGTCAGAAAAGGCCATCTAGTTGCTTACTTGCAGTGGGCGCAACTAGGGGAATAGAAATTCACAACTACCGGCTCTTCACGCTCGCTGACTGAAAGGAAAGGAAATTCGTGGCGCAGTGACGATATTCTGCTAACCCAAAACCTCCCAGTTGGTGTCTGAAATTTCCAGTACAGGGCCTTCATCGTAAAGATTCTGAACAACAGCACGAACCTTCCCTCAACATCCCACCACGCGATCTCAGTGAACAAGAGTTAGTTACCGAAGCGGTACTACCTTGACGGGCTGTGCGTGAGGTCTCCGACCCCCTGCGCCACCGAAACCACCGAAGCCCCCGGAGCCCCCGCCAAAACCACCAGAGCCGCCTCCGAAACCACCAGTGCCGAACTCGAAATGGAAGGAGCCTCCGCCAGGACCACCTTGGCCGAAGAACGCACTGAGAGTTGCATATAGGATCATTGAGCGGCGAGATGCGGCAAAGGAACTGCTCACTTGAAGATGTCTTCAGGCCGCACGTTGAAGCCACCGCCGCCGAAGCCGCCATCACCACCGCCGCCTCCGCCTTGCTTGAGACCCTCCTCACCTGAAGGGAGGAGGATTGTGTGGACGTAATGATTTTATCAGTATAATACAACGTAGCGAGAATCGAACCAGGGATCTTAGGATGGATAGACCATAGGACTATCCAACTGGAGAATTCTCTCGGCATGAAACAACGATCTTACCGAACTGGTCATAGATCTTCCGCTTCTCTGGATCCGAGAGAGCTTCGTAAGCCTCAGAAATATCGTAAAACTTCTTCTCGGCCTCTTCTTTATTATCACTACCATGCGAAAGGTCCATCCGGGTTCAACTCCCAGGAGGTCGATCTTCCTACGTATTCTTATCCGGATGCCACTTCAGAGCCGCTTTACGATATGCTCCTTTGATCTGACTCTCACTGGCGCTTCTGGGTATCCCCAAGATCTAATCAAACATTCACTCGCCTTTAATAACAGTCATCCTTCTGCGACAACATTGCAACTCAGTGTTCATACGCCTGGTAGACGAGCCGCTCGCGAAGACGCCGAGATGAGTTAATAACAGCAGCAGACGAGGATAGTACCTTGTAGTAGTCCTTGCCGCACTCAACTAGGCCAATGAGTCCGACATAGAGTACTAGGATGGAGTACCGTAATATGAACATTCACGGGTAAAAAACTGATGAGGGGATTGCAACTTATGTGTGTATGTGTGGATCTGTCCCCGGTCATTGCCGGCCCAATGGCCTATCGCCCTCAAACGTACAATCGTCGACTCGAGTGGTTGCGAGAAGGAGCAGCGAAAAAGAGAAAAGTCTGTTCAATACTGTGGGTCCACAAACCATACATATCGATTACAATGGCGCGCGCTACTAAAACGAGGCACTTCGAAAAGAAAGGAGATACTCATCATCAGAGTTCGTTTTTGGAGCCGTATGGTTACCGTTCTCGCATCGACTCGTCGCATTGTAGCGGCCGGCCCCGTGCGCTCAGGACTGCTGCGTCGCAGTGCTTTCAATCGTATGAGGGTTCCTGAGGACATTGAGTTCACCAAAAACAGATACACCAGGAGGGTAAGGCTTCTTGCTGTTGGATCGTATTTCGATCTGTCCGTGTTAGTATAACCTGGCAACAGAAGACCGTGTGAAGTTGCTGAATTGGAATGCTTTTTGCATAGCTGTAACCGCACTTCCCATCGCCTACGTGTAAGCCTCCCACCCTCCTTATGGTCCGACACAGTGCACAGGTACTATTCTTGGTACGAGTCGTCAGAGGACACCGATATGATATACAGAACTATGGACCCTATGAGGGAGGCTAAGGCCGAGTACTATCTGCCACTACTCAGAGGCTATTAGTTCTAGCATCGTCATGAATGGTTGATAGTTTTTCCTATTTTTCTATCGGAAGTGTTACGTTTATTAACCTGGAAGCCACAGAGCTTCTCTTCAACTCGTCGATGAGTGCATCTCTACGTCTCGCCGTATCACCGCTGTATCAGTATGGCATCAGAATTTCGGCAAACCTTCTGTAGTAGTTCGTGCAACCTACGTCGATGCTTATCGACTATTGCAAGGCATTGACAGCGTATCAGTGTTGGTGTCGCGTGTCTTGTCATGGTGCCGCCTCCTCCTCCTCCCTTACCTACCGCACTTTCTCCCACTCATCATCAGTCTGTTGGCAACCAAGTATCGTACGATAATTCGGATCGCCAAAGACGGACAGAAGACAGGAGCGGTAAGAGTAATCATATTATTGCCCCCACAGGAGATCCTCCTCATTTAACAGGTCCACCTAACGGTCCCGTATCGCCCTCAGACGGTTCTTCAACCAGTAGTCATCATCAATACCATCCCTCGAGCAGTTCTCGATCTGCCGATATCGCGGCAGCAGTGGCTATGGCGCGTTCTCCTCATGACGAGTTCCTCAAGGGGGAAGAACGAACGAAAGCCAAGTGGGCGAAAATGGTCGGTAGATACTGTCAGTGTTGATCCTATGAGGAAAGCGTTTCAGGTCAAACGTGGCATCAGTAGTTTCATTCGCGAACAACCGGATAAATTCCACCGCCGTGCTCGGCGAGGCATCCCAGCGGAATATCGGTGGACGGTGTGGAAGGCCTGTGTGTCCCATGATGAACGGTTCGTTCGTAACGTATATTGGAAACTCACGGGACTGGGCTCTGAGAATGAGCAGTGGGGAAGAGCCATAAAAATCGATGTACGATTTCGGACATCTCACTGAGCGTCTTGGCCACTTCCCCTCCAGGTTCCCAGAACCTTCCCGAGAGACCAAGCAACTCGGAATGGCTCTCAGATGTCGGAGGTAGTCTATGGCATTGTGGGTGAAACCTCTAAACCTATAGTTTCCATGATGAGTTATTTGGATCGCATAAACGAGTCGTGGACATCTGGTTGAAAGCCCGTATTGTGAACTTGAAAGCATCGAGTTAGCTTTGTATTTTCAGGCTCACTTGAAGTCTCTGTATCGTATCCTGGTGGCCTATGCCAACCTCAATCCGGATGTAGGCTACTGTCAAGGGATGAACTTCGTGGCAGGCTTGCTTTTGCTGGTCAGTGGAGAGGTCCCGGGTTCGATTCCTGCATCTGTCGTTTTATATTCAGGTCGCATGTCCTGATAGGGACACTCCGCCCTCCCCAGTCGAAGAGGTAAGCCTCCATCAGCTATGCGTGCGTCATGTATCGCCCTCAGGAGGAGGCCTTTTGGGTTTTTGTTTGCCTCATGGAATACGATGGCCTCGCTGGGTTCTATCGCGAAAACTTCCCACTGCTGGGTAAGGCTATTCTATCGAATTCTTATTTATCAACGTTGAATCGAAATCGTTTACCAAAATGTATGCACCGTTCGTGACGAATATGTTCCCTGCGGGGATCGAACTAGGGGTCTGTGGAATAGCAAACCAGCTACTTTCCCATTGGACTACGAATCTATTGGTCTGTCTAGGTCGATATACTCATGCGTTCGATGAGCTTCTCGCTCGGGAACTACCCGACCTGCGAGATCACTTCACAGAAGAGGGTGTCCAACCAACTCTGTACATTCATCAGTGGTGAGCTTAGATTCATCGCAGCCGGACCCTCCTAGGTTTTGCTAAGGTACCTGTCATTATTCATAAATTGCCTACCACTCCAAACGGTAATTATCCTCGAGCCTTTGAGAGTCATAGTGGGCCCTTCTTAGGTATTCGTTTTATGGGATGTTATAGTCAGTGATGGCCTACCGATCATTCTCAGTATATCTATTGCATTATTGAAGGTGACTGGACAACCTCTAAGAACCTCATTAAAAGCACTGCTCCATCAGGTCCTTCGTCCGGCTCTGATGCAGATGGAATTCGAGGATATCGTGCGATTCTTCAAAACTATGAAGACAGGTAGGACTAAATGAGATAGAAGGGCACTCGTCATTGGGTCCATTTAGGCGACGAGAAGTGCGATGCAACAGTGATAGGCCAACTACTAGTGCGGCTATCTGGGAAGGTGGAGATCCCTGACTCCATTCTAGAGTCGCTTCATTTACCATACGACTGTCAAGATCCTAGGAATGTCGAACCCCTGGGCCTGCCTCCGGGACCTAGGAGTCTCGAACTGGATCGGCCTCTGGACGGACTCGATAGTGATGGCACCAAACCCGTCGCGGGTGTTGCACAATGGTTGAAGAGCGTGTCAGCACAGATTGACGCGAGTTGGAGCGAGCTCAAAGGCGGCCTTGCGGGAGCAGCCTCTTCAAGTGACGAGCGATTGTCGTCTGATGATGCCTCGTGAGAACCCGATGTTCAGCTGCTAAAATGTTAACATTGATGATCTATATTTAACCAGGCTTGTTTGCTGAGTGCGACCTTAGGGGGGGGGTCGACTTTATTGTCTCCATCAATCGATAATAGTGAACATATTTCAAGAAGCACCATTGACATAACCTGCAACTCATCGTATTGTGTGACTACATACGTGAGTGTTATGTTCGCAGTTCTATTCCGGGGAGAGCAACGATTCATCTCAGCGAATCTGTTGACTACTGATAATGCCTCCCAACAGCGTTCTCCGAGAAGTCGAAATACAAGGGGAGGAGTTCAAGTTTAGCTGTGGGCATTTTGTCGCGTAAGCCCTATTGTCATCATTCCACCTGCTAAAGACTCTCTAATGACATTAAATTCCACTGTAGAAGGACAATGTGGGAATATGTGTTCGCTTTCCTCAGCCGATTTCAGAAGTTCCCTCACGAATTGTAGAAGTTTATATACGAATTCGGGTAGAAGCATACAGAAACCAATAAGAATTTGGCCAAGTTTCTTCGCAGTTTTCGTATATTCTCGCGTTCACATGTAGTTGATCACGTGCATATTTTCTCACACTGGAGGAGGGTTCGCAGGGTAGACATCATACTACTTCACCTTCTACAGGGTGTCTTGAAGATTCCATCAAGAAGCGCGCGCCCAGTTATTCCCCATAGGCTGGGGATTACTCCATAATTCGCTGAGTAATCGACAACAGCACTTTCTAGGGACACATAGTTAATTTTCCTGAGTGGGGCCGCTATGCCACTCTGAGATGCCTGCCAAGATTTGCCTCGATTCGATGAATTTCTCTGGGTGGGGCGGTTATGCCATCTTAAGATATATCTTAGTACTACTAATTTCGCCGATGGTGCGCTGGCGGATATGTCATCCCGGGCTGGTTTCTTTCCAGTGGTAAACTGCCGCTGAATGAATGTCTAAATTTGAACCACGGTAGCGCACATGATGAGTCCCAGGATGGTGTATCTGCCTTCGGAGAGAGTCGGCTTTACTAACAGTGAAATTGATCATCACGTTCCGTTGAAACTGGAGTTACTTTTGACTTCGCCGACGAAACTGATCTTCCTATCATGTGCGCCTGCGAAATTAATTGGCATATATTTGGGTGGCATAGCTGCCCCACTCGGAAGAGTTGTGCGGCGGAATTGATCTCCTTACCACGTGCGACTGCGAAATTCATTGGTATATATTTGGGTGGCATAGCTGCCCCACTCGGAAGAGTTGTGCGGCGGAATGGATCTCCTTACCACGTGCGACTGCAAAATTCATTGGTATATATTTGGGTGGCATAGCTGCCCCACTCGGAAGAGTTGTGCGGCGGAATTGATCGCCTTACCACGTGCGCCTGCGAAATTCATTGGCATATATTTGGGTGGCATAGCTGCCCCACTCGGAAGAGTTGTGCGGTTGAATTGATCTCCTTACCACGTGCGACTGCGAAATTCATTGGTATATATTTGGGTGGCATAGCTGCCCCACTCGGAAGAGTTGTGCGGCGTAATTGATCTCCTCACCACGTGCGCCCGCGAAATTCATTGGTATATATTTGGGTGGCATAGCTGCCCCACTCGGGAAAAGTTGATCCTACTCGCGGCGGAGTTGATCTTCCTACCGCGTGCGCCTGCGAAATTCATTGGTATATATTTGGGTGGCATAGCTGCCCCACTCGGGAAAGGTCGATCCTACTCGCGGCGAAATAAGCCTTTAAATTGACGGACAGCTCGGCTTCACTCATACGGTGTAAATCGCTCAGACACCGAGGCTTCCGAGAACGACTCCACGGACACAACTATACGGTGAAGCTCCGCTTGACGTGTGAGAGCTGGCCTGCTGGGGATGATGGATATGTTATCGATTTCGGCATCCTCAAGGTATGTGGATCTCCGTGTCCTAGAGGATGATGAACTAGCATTTGTTCGATATTGCTATGCATACAAGTGTGGTAATTTTCGGCAGTTGTTCACGTCTCAGAAGCTCCTCCGCTCGGTTTGTAGAAGTTTGAACGAGCACATGATAATCCCGGAGCGGAGTGAAGTTCTGGACATCGATACCACCCATTTACATGTTACGGCTACTGGGAAAGAGCAGGCCAGTGTTCGCATCACCACGAATGAAGGAGACGAGTTTCTATTTCCCAAGTAAGCTCGGAGAGCTCTCTTGCATTCCGATCATAGCAGTGTCGCTCAGAGATGATTGCATTATCTTGCCGATTGAATTCGCCACAGCTGAAGAACTCTCAGAGTATGTTTTTACTCAAATTGTTGCCGGTTTGGGAACAATACCAAGAGAAAGAGGGCTCACAGAATTGACGGTTTCTGTAAGTGAATTGCGAGTCAATATGCCTTTTCGTGGAATGTCACCAGCGATCTCTGTCTCCCAGGTATACGAAAGGCCCACGCAATGCGCGAAGTACACCGCCCTTTTGGTGCCGCGAAATACTATTTAGGAGCGCGAGTGTGGAACTACTATCTCATCCGATGTATTTTGTTATGTTCAGTTTTCACCGTAGAAGGTTTGTAAGTGTGAGTGTTGGGTAATTGTATTTCCCGCGTTTAACACAAGCTGGTCGTTCATCCAGGACGAATCGAACCTACATCGGCGCTCAAAAAGGATGCGACTAAACTCACAGGGTACTTCATTGATCCTTTTGAATATCGGCTTTGTAGAGTTTGTTGCAACATTTCTAGGAGTCCTTAGTCAGAAAAATCTTTACAGTCATTCTTTCTAGCATTTCTTCTGATAAAGTTCGTATCTAGAGCGCGTCTGAATTGTTCATGCTCATCATACTATTCACTAACAAGCTTGTATTCTCAACTTAGTCAAATGTCAGACTCCGAAATTATTGCGGAAAGAACCCCGGAGTGGAACGACGGGTTCTGTTATTCTCCATTGTAGCGACACACTGTTGTGGCATCCATCATATGTGCCGGGCGACTCGTTTAATGCATGCGTGGTAGCAGCGAGACGAACGCATGCCCAAGCGAGATATGATCGTGCCCTGCATAACAAGGTTGGCCATAGCTGATAATTACAAGGCAGCGTTCGACCGGTTCCTCCGATAAGTTCTCTTTCCCAGACTTACCCTGCATGGTCCACTTACGAGGTGTTCAATGAGGTTTCAAGACCTTAAATGCGACCTCGTCCTACTTCTGCGTACGCGAATTATCCTTTTGCGCGATATCGAGTTTCTCTCGGCTAGGGAAACGATGAGGATGGACTCCGCTGGCGGAATAGAGATCTCTTCTGACGGGTTGTTCGGCGTACCTCCCAAACTATGACATGTCTGATTCTTGCGATTTGTATTTGGTAGCTTGAAGGTCTCGTTCTGGTGTAGTTACTGCAATTCACCGCACATACAAGCTGAGCAGAGAGTAACACACAGAAGCAGTAAGCTTCGTTGGCTGCGTAGTGTGTAAGGAATTACTTCATAGTGAAGTCTTCACCGTGTACCTACTAGGTATCACGCAACGTGTTTATAGTGTCAAGCTGTGTTCTCTCTTGTTTTAACTATAATTGGTGAACTGCAGCGAATCTCTTTGGATGGTGCATCATCGGCCATTACTATATTTCTAGCCAAAAGCACGATCGTCGCTCCAACGCTCTTACTAGCGAGCGAGTGAAATTGTGATTTAAGTTCAGTTGGTCGCGAACAGTGGTGTGCAATCGAAGCATAAACCATAACACGTCGTGTGAATCTGAGCGGTCGTCTCGCGGTTTGTCGCTCTCGGAAGGATTAAGTCGTTACACCCTTGTTCGGAAATTATGAGTGACCATCATTAGCCATCTTCTCAAAATTCTCATCGGAGCACCATAGGACTTTTCTCAATGAATGTCCAAAGGTTGCCTCTGCGAACAGCTGCTACGAGTAGTACAAAAGCGTCACTTGTCAGCGCAACAAGCACAGTAACACACGTGGCTTATGTAAGAGGCGAGGATATCACCTCATCTCACCGTTCGACTGTTGCTCTCGCAGCTCTGCAACCGGATTCACCGACTAGCGAACGAAAGTGCCTCCATGGGAAACAATTCGCAGAGGCAGGCAGCTGTCGGCATTGTGAAACAGCTAGAGGTAAACTTCGATCTCTCTAGAGAGGTGTCCCTTAATGCTTTAAGGCAGCCAGCCTCTTGAATATGCATTCCCTACCGTCTCCTCAGGACTTCCTTTCGAGTGATGCGGTCCAGCGAGGTCTCCATGGAACCGTTCCGGACAGACTTCGAAATCAGGACGTTGGGAAGCTCTTAGCAGGAGCGGCTAAACTCAAGATTGCCGTTCCACATAAGCTATTGAATGAAGTACGATTGATTCTTCACTGTTCACTTCAAAGTCTTTCCTTACCTATTCCAGGTACTCGTGAATCACTGGCTACCAAGCCTAGACCGACAGGGTGAATCGTCTCAAGATCTCGGCAATTCGTTATGCATAGTCCTTTCTGCACTATCCCGAATTAAACAACAGCATCCGTCCACTACCCGCGTCCCTAGTGGTCTCCTCGAAAAGATATCCGAACTTCTGGAGAATTCTTCCACCTACAACATCCTCACTACTAAGGACATTTGCAGCTTACTTCTCTACCTCAGCCGACTGGAATGCTATTCTGCATCAATTTTCGGCAGTGTCGTAGAGAAGCTCGATTTCAGCATTCTCTCGTGTGAGCTTAACCAGTAGTGGAATATATGTTCGCTTTCCTCAGCTGAGCTCATGAGTTTCTTCACCAATTATGGATGTTCACATACGAATTAGGGTGGAAGTTGACAGAAACCAACAAGAATCTTTCTAAATTTCCTCAAAATCTTCATATTGTCACCGACACATGTAGTTGACCATGTGCATATTTTCCTATACTGACCATAACTCTGGGCAATCGCCGACTCCTCGAGTTGTTTTCTTTCTCAGGTCGCGACTTGGCAGATCTGCTGCAAGCGTTCAGCAATGCCGACTTGGTCTCCATCCCTCTCCTCGCGAACACCCTTCCTCGAGCATCCCAACTCCTCCTTGATTTCACCAATCCCTCGTCCAGTCCTACGAACGACGACCATCGAGTTTCCCTCCGAGATATCAGCATCATCGCTTCGGCATATAGTCGCAGTTGTGAAGATCTCCCGTCAACAGACACACGGTCGTTCTTCGCCACATTAGTACTCCTTCTACGGCGAAAGCTCGAGCGACCAAACAGTGCGGCCAAATGCTCTGTGAAGGATGCGGTGTCCTTCTTGGTATCGCTCTCTCGAGTTGGCATCGATGACGATAGCCTCTACGAGATCCTCTTCTGTAAAGAGGTGCTCCCTCATCTCTCTACATTGGAAGCTCGGTCGGCCGGCTATGTCCTCAGCGCCTACGTTAGTATAGAATGCCAGAGACGACGCCGATTCGAGCTTCAAGGCCTTGAGAGTATTCCTGATACTTTCAGCAAGTGCGCTGAGGAGCTCCTCGATGGGCTTCGATCGAAAGCTGCTAGTATGGCCGTTGGTGCCTCTTCTTGCCACGGCATGGAACATCTCAGGGTCCTGGTCAACTTCGCGTATGAGTTCGCTAGACTAGACGCTGGCACTGGGAGCGAGGCTCACGTCTTGACTGCCTTGGAGACTGTTATTCGAGAGAACATATCAGGAGATGTGATAGCATCATCGCCGCATAGCGTAGCCTTAGCAGCCTCGGCATTCAGTGGCGTTCCGGACAGTCTGCTGATGAACGACCGTCTCCCTGCAATGTTACGGGAACCTCATAGAGGCCGTAAACCACTCGAGTGTTTCTCGAGTCGGGATCTCAGCCTCCTGGCTTCAGCTGCTGTGAAGCATAGTCAGCTTTCGGGGTCTACACAGTTGGCAGAATCGGTCATTTCGTACGTTATGGCTGAAGACGGTATTTTTTCGTCCGGAAGACGCCGGGGCTTCTCTCAAGCTTTCCTAGCATCGTTAGCCGAAACTCTATCACCGATTGACCCCAGGGTTATTGAGAAACTCTCAGCGGCTGAACGGAACACCGAGTCAATCAACTCGTCAGCAGACGAGATCTGTGCCCTGTGTGAGGCCTCGACGCAGTCAGGAGTAGGTTCGTCTCCACTGTGATTCATGGTGAAATCGACCTTTTTTCCAGGCACTGATACCCCGCCTTATTGACCTCCTTGAAGGGTCCCTCGCAACGTCGCCCATCCCCGTCTGGTCGCTGGACGAGTCTGCATGCATACTGCGATCTTTGGTCTCATTGGGCTGCTTTGGCGGCCGACAGCTTTCGGAGGAAACGCAGAAGCGGATAGTTTCCGCGGTCGTCCTTGTGGTCAAAGCCGCCTCATCGACGAGTCATGTTGGTCCGAGGCCGAGTGCACGAGCGTTGCTGCCATGGTCATCACTCGTGAATAGCTGCTGCATCCTTATACTGGAAAATGGTGACCACGAGTTGGACATGAGAGATAACAGTGGGCGGTTGAGACGACGCGGAGTGCTACAGTTGTTGCCAGAAGTGAAGCTTGCTTTCAAAGAGCTCCTTCTCGCTCTGGCTAGCAGCGCAGTTGAATTGGAAGCTAATCCAGCGAAGGCCGTGTGAGCTCGAGTCCTTTTCGTAGGGGAAACGAACCTGTTCTCTTTCAGATATCTGATGTGGCCAATACTTCAGGCTATATCCTCACTGGACAGTTCTATTGACCGATCAATGGTAAGTACCTGCTGATCATCCCGTACTGACCTCTACGTTATCGCAGCATTTGGAGTCCTGTGGGATATCGAATCATCTCAAAGCACTGCTGATGCGGATGAATGAGGATTCGAAAAGCATGCCCTCCTCGCGGTGTAAGTCCGATGCATCTTCTTTCCTGCGACGTCTCGGGGCACTGCTGTTGAGGTTTTTATTCTTCAGACGCGGCCTTGGCACTCCACAGTCTAGCTTGCCTGCGGTTCAACGATATTCCACCATCTGCATTGGAAGTTCTACTTGAAAGCTACGAGCATCAATCGCATGTATATTCTTTAGCGGTTCTCATGCCACGAGCCCATGACTCAGACGAAACTCCGAAAACCCGCGTCAGGCGATGTTGCTAGAGTGATACACTCACTCGGTCGACTCGGCCGAGTACCGACACAGTTGCCCCTACAATTACGAAGTTGGCGATTCAGAACTCCCTGGGAGTTAATCACAGTCCTGCACGGTCTAGCGCTGCTTAATCTCGAGTGAGATGCTCTCATAACACTGAGAGCTCATCGCTCGTCTTTACTAGGAACTCCACAATCTTCCTCGAGGCAATCCGCAGAGTATCGGAGAATGGCAATCCAAGTTGGACCAGAGCTCACGCTAGACAGGTGAATCTTGATCGGTGTGGTTCCACGTTGATCTATCCATCTGGGTTGCCAGTCGGTGTGTTTCCATGTCCGCATCAGATTCTTACATATCATCTCTCGGCTTACAGTTCTGACATCGGGCCCTTGGGAGGAGATATAACACTCTTGCGAGAAGCTCTACAGCTCTACAGCGGCTTGCAGACCTCTCAGGATGTGTCAGGATCGTCTTCTAGTGAAATGCATGCAGCTCTGTACGAAGCTCTGAATGTGTCAGAAAACAGCCATATTCTGGTGTCCTCGGAGGTCCCTGCTGGGCCGTATCAAATTGACTCGGTCGTCTCATTCCTTCATCCATGATGTGTTCTTATCGAATGTTTCTGCACTATTCACTGTCTCCTTGAGTATTGTCAGACTGTATCGATGAAAGGTAAGCCAAATGTTGACACGCCAATCGCACACATCGAATGAGCCCCACTATACTTTCCTGATGCTACACTCGTCAGCGCGTAACGATGATTTTAACTGAGGGCCAAAACCCTAGCGCCGGGTGGCTCAGTAACGAGTAGTAGCCAATAAAAGTACCCTTGAAACGACCTGGACCATCACTGGACTTGATCCCGAAGTTTCCTTTATGACAAACTTGGGAATAATATGAATAATGTTACACGGGTGCTTTGGCTTCGAGTCACTGTCCCGATAAGATCGATTTCTGCAGGTGGGGCGGCTATGCCGTCCGAAAATACGCCATAGAAGAGTGAATTCCTGCTCGGGGGCGGCTATGCCACTCCACGATATGCCTCGAGAAATCAATTCCCCCAGTGGGGCGACTATGCCACCCCACGGTCTATTGGAACTCTACTCCACACAATATGTGGAAATCAGTCCCACTGTTCGTAAGGCCAAGTTCATTCAGAGTAGGTTCGTCAGACACCACGCATCCAGGCTGGCATTTCCGACTAGTTGGTGTCACCCAATATGGTCAGAATTACCAATAACGCAGCCAACAGTAGCTTATGCGCTGAGGTATAAAATCTTCAGTTGCTAGTCACAACCCATGGCTGCCGGTTGTGATGGTAGCATGATAATAGTGCTGAATGGGAAATCCTCTCTGACGACTGACACGATATCAACAGATATGTGAATCGTTTAGTTATGCTCCAGACAGAAACCCTGATGCTGATGGTAGATCATAGAGGCGGTAACAAACGTTACTCCGTTGCTTTTCTGCCCGCTCGGCAAAGCGAAGTTCCCGTGTGGCTCACTCTTTTACAATGCGCAACTCACTCTCTTTGATTAAGAAACAACACTACGGAAGACATGCTCTAGTGGCTATCTTGAGGTTTCCTGGCTACTCCGCCATAGATCATACTCAGATCTCCCGGCAGTTCCACAGGGTTACCCTCAAAGACTTGATGTTTGTGCTTCATACCACCGAGGATATAGCGAGCAATCTGAAAGGCATCTAAAGGTGCCCAAGCTGGTGACTCACCCTGAAAGGGATGTCTTCATAGTCCATCCCAATCCACTCTTCCTTCGGCGAACCTGCAATTTCAGCAGTGAAACGATCCCAAAATTCCTTTCCAAGTATATCCAACCAAGCCTTGTGAAACCAGCGCAGACACCAAATGCACACTCACCTACGACGAATCCAGTCTCACTCAGCAGGCGCTCCATCTCCTCGGGAGTGATGAAGAGTCTCCAGTCATGGGTATCGTTGTACATGACCTGAAGTAATGGCAGAGGTGATTCACACAGGTAGAGGCGATCTCACACCTGGAGGATCTCCTGAGCAATCAACCACACTAGAAGGTAGCTCTTGAAGTTCCTCGATATAGTGTCGAATACGACAACCCCGCCTGGCTTGAGGACACGATAGATCTCCTGAATAGCCTTCCGCAGATCCATTAAGTGGTCCAGCACTTCGGATATGATAACACCATCGAAGGAGTTATCAGGAAATGGTATATCGTATGCCGATCCAACTTGATAGTGCAGATTTGGAATATGGCGTCCATGCTCTCGTGCTTGCTGTAGGGATGCCTCACTGATATCTATACCGGTGATATTATAGCCGTAAGTTGATGCCATGTCTTCAGTCAAGAGGCCGCCACCACAACCCACGTCCAAGTATCTTCCTTTAGAAGGGATCTTCCCGCCTTTGGAGAGGTGACGATGGAAAAAAGGACAGCGAATGACGTTGGTCTTTCTCAGAGTGTAGACGATCTCTTCCTCATCCCACCAAGAAACATCATCATATAGATGGTTGTCGATACGAGTATCTTCTTCTTTTATGACGGCGAGCCTGTCAGGATAGGGAGTAGGATTGAACCTCGACCTCGAGAATAGCAGTGCTGCCAGAACAACAGCCGTCGACGTCCCAAGCACGCCGAAGGAGACCATAGTTCTATAGGAAAATGACCAAACACTCAACTGGGATCTCATCATGAAAAGTCACTAGGTGACTTCCGTCAATCTCAGGAGCAGTTCCAGATACCGATTTCGAAACTCAGAGTTACTCATACACGTATATAACGATGTTGGAATCAATACTGCATGTTAGAATTGATTCAATGATCATAGTAGGCCCTAACACGATTCCCGTAGCACGCATACGCACCGTTACACAGTTGCGTCGCTCATCTCGAAGATTCCCATATCGCACATATTTGCTTAGATTCAATGAAGTCCACAACCGCATCGACAAGCACGAAGATCGATACACGGACAACGTCCAGGATGTATAACCAACTCTACTTTTATTCTATCATATAACATCACTATAAACCCCATCATCGATATGTGTCCCGACCTTGCCGAACCGATCAACAGCAAGGTATGTTCAACCTCGGATAGAGACCATGAATCAGCAGGCAGACAGAGACTCTGTCACTCAGTTGATATTCACACAAAATTCACAAAGGATGAGTGCCCCAAAAGCTATTGATGGTCCTCATCTACTGCTGCACTCTGCATTATAACACTGTAGGGAAGTTGGCCAAATTGCGACGAGGCGATTCGTTATCGGCGCCGCCGACTCGTGTGCTTTTCTACGTGAAGTGAGCTACCTTCAGTGACGACCACACATGTGTGTATACAGGGAGTCTAATCGTCGTTTCACTACTACTACAGACAGAAGTTTGATGAACTCGACTCCCTCGAAACTCGCATATTCTATTCTTATCAATGCAACCCTTCGCATGCACACAATGAGTGAACAGCGATTAACAAGACTACAGTCAACACAAGAGCCACTTCCAACGTACAAGAGTGTTCAAATATACAGGTGCATTAACGCCTTACAATGTATTGTACATCATCCGAGAGCCGTAGACTGGTATTAAAGTAGTAATCAACAACTCTTCACCGACTTCCCTATTGACGTGCTATAGTATAGAATAGTCGTACTCCACAGAACGCGGAATCATCGCAGTTTCATGCCTCTTCTCTGACACAACTCGATTTCCCCCATCTTCGCGGTGCGCTCCTGGACTAGATATCGGGGTGGACATTGGCGTACCTATTTTGAATCTTACCATCTCAAAAGATACTCTTTCCGCTTCAGTCACCTTCAGTCACCCCCGGCTTCACGCGCTTCATCGTTTCGTTCAGTTCTTTCCGATATTTCACAGCAGCCTCGAAAGCTGGATGCAAACCCAGACGCAAAATGCTAAAGCCCTTCGTGCGAGATTTCCCATCAGGCTCTCGTTGCCTAATGTACCTGGCAATAGCCTCTGTCAATCTATACAGATTTATACACGAATAAACCTTCCACCAATTACAGTTTATGTTCACTCCTAATAGGTAATGGTATAGGTGCTAATAGTTCAGGTTCAGACGGTTACGTTCGAGGCTAAGTTTGAGTTTCATAGTTCATCGGCTAATACTCAAATAGTTACTAGTAACTTATCAGTGTTGGAGGAATATATATTCGCTTTCCTCAGCTGATCTCAAGAGCTTTCTCACTTACTATATGAGTTTATATACAAATTCGGCTAGAAATGCACGGAAACCAACAACAATAATTACCCAAAATTTTCTCATTATTTTCGTCTGCTCATCAACACATGTAGTTGACCATGTGCATATTTCCCCCCCAAACTGTAACTGATAGTTTACGTTCATCTCTTTTCTGAATCGTTAAACCCGACTGACCATGTCCGACTAGATTTGTTGTAGTATACGCCCTCATTCTTGCCGACATCGATCATAGCTCTCGATGGCTCCACAGGATTCCCTCGCGGCTTTATTGCGTTATTTCGACGACCATCCGCTTCAAGAGATCGTAGTGGCACTGACTCCTAAGACCGAAAATTTAATTGATAATGGGCGGGTTGCATAAAATCAAACGTCATTCTAGTAAAACTGTGAACATTCAAAGAAGAGACCGTCCTAGACAGTTACCTCCGACTGCTCAGGAGATAAAGTGTCGCTCTTGATGTCCTGACCAAGGATTGAATTCTCATAAATTCCTCAAGGAATTCCATGAGCACTCACACTGCTGCTGCTACTGTTATTATTATTATTTTTTCGTTTTAACAACACATTTTTCCGATAATCCTCAGCCATTTCCATCGCCTTCTCATAACCACACCTTCAAATTGATGACCATAAAAATGTCGCACGTTGTAGTACTTCCGAGCGGAGAAACTTTTCGTTCTTAATTTCCCCGCGTCCATCCACCTGGCAATCCAGCTTTGGCCTGTGCTCATAAATCATCGTCCGTAAGTGCCCACTTCGCAACCTACTTTGTCCAACCCACGACACTCCTTTAGATTTAGACCGCTTGCCAGAGCTCCTTTTTCGAGATGCAGTGCTCAGTTGAACCTCTATTATTTCGTCGTCTGGGAAACCGCAGAGAAATTGTACCTGATTTTAGTTGAGATGATACCACCGAATGAATTCTTCCCCAACCTCCTTATCAGCGTCGTCATCATCATACATCCACTGCACACGTTCCGTAGGCGCCTGTCCGTTTCGGATTTTGAAGAAGCCAGACTATACGATGAGGAATTGGCGTGGTATGGTTGCCGAAAATAACCCACCTGTGCGCTTAGTATATAATCATCATTAGACCCAGAAGATTTCTCCGCCCGAAAGGCTCCTCCTGTCCGGGCCCGTTTAGACCACCCTAGAGGCATCTGCGGCACCACTCCCACTGAGGGTCGCTTCCTAATACAAGTATCAGACTTGCACCATCGTAAACTCCGCATCATCTACTCACCGTGTGGACGGTTCACTGCTCTCACCACATGGTTCCTGAACACTATGTAAAGCACGAGCGGCGTTGGCTCTGGTGATCATACTATTCATGCGCTGCAACTAAAAACGACAACAACTTGATTTTTCCTACTGTATGATGAACTATTGAAACAACCTACATTTTCCTCCGCCCCAAAGCCGGGCCCCGTCCCTTTCGGCAATACTCCAGGCGCTGCTGCCTTAGCGATTCGAAACTACAGGATAAGAGCATTCACTTGTTTAGACTTCATAAAAACGCGATGGTGTTCATGCGCATCTCCGCGGTACCGTAAATCGGACACTTCTTCGGAGGAAGGCACGCGGCGATTCCTCCCGATAACATAACTAAATTTCCGCAAACGCATATTCAATCTGAGGTTATCAATGCTCAAATCATAGTATATGTTTTGTATTTGCAAGACATATATACATTTACACACAATAAGAACAATACCCGCACTAAATATTGCTATACAATATTCTCGCCGAATACTCCAATGATGAATTTTTTTCTCACGGGTCAATCCCAGTTTACTACAGATGCGTGTGGCCTTACTTTCCTCCACTCCCCTTGCAGCTCCCGTCGTTGCATTATTAGATTCTGTCGCTCTCTGCTGAGGACTCCAAGCAAACCAACAAGTTGCTGTAAGGTTTGATCCAGAAGAAACTGAACGTCGAAGCACCGCGTGTCATATACTCCCGATGTTAGTGTGTTGTCCTACTATAGGATCGGTCCCAGGTTCGATCCCTGGAGACGGCAACCTTTGAAATGCAGCTTCCAATCGAGCGTAGTGCTGCTGGTCTTGCGTCATCTCTACTGCATCAGCTGATGCACTTGTCTCCTCCTGCCCCCGACGCTCATTCCCAACTTGTGGTTCCCGGCGGGCCGAGACATCACAACCAGCGTGCGCTACACTTGTGGAGGAAGTGCCTTTCTGGACGTCAGAATTGCCCTCCGAATGCGGTATGGTAGAGGAACTACTCATCGGGCCCTTTTCGCTGAAGCGAGTGGAACAAAGCAATCCTGATATAAAACTTATTATCAGTCAAGTAGAATCGAATTCGGAATGGTATCAGAGTTGCTCACCATGAAGTGACCGGTTGTAATACAATATACATGCCAAGGCTACTGAGGCGGACTCTCAGCCGCAACGCCAAACCCGCGGCCCTCTATTTAGTCGCTATAGTGTCTGCTGATATTCATATATAATGTTTCCCCATTGCACTTTGAAGCTTATACATCATCATCAATTTTATCACACAGACGCAGTTTAATATGCGCCACAGAAGAGCCGCCGGCCATCCCGTAGATTTGTAAGGCACCCGCATGCAGTTCGGACGGACGCAGCGACTTGAGGTATAATTTATCGTAATTATATATAACTTTGAAACTGTTAAACTTCACGTCTACTCTAAATCGATCATATATATCATTTTCGGGCGTGCGCTTTTTCCGACGAATGTCGTTAGTAATTCTTGTCATCTCGCAATCTTGGACTACTTTCGAGTACGCATGTTCATAACCAATAAGCGAGAGTTTCTTATGATATCAGCCTAAGCACTTCCCCGAAGATAAATCGACGCTGATGTACCAATGACGTATTCACAACTCGAATTTTTCAAGTAGTAGCGTTCCAGCGAGCGCTCGTTGTGAACTTTACTGTCCCCTCCTCTACACAAGCCGTCTCATTTGTCGCCATTGACCTTTGCTAGTGATTTGTTTATTGAGTTTACACTATGCTGGATATAATCGCAGCTAAAAAGCAGCACTCTGATTATACTTGACCGCTTAAGCTAAGGTATTCCTCCACCCAGAGGAGACACATTGTGTGCGATAATGATGATGCGCCGCCGCCTCTACTTTCTGATTCCTGTACGCGGAACTTTCACCATCGAACGAGTTCGTCTTGTGCATGCGTACAGACACCGAAGCATAAGGGTGATTATGTGGTCGCGAAGGGATTTGATCGCTCATGGTAGACTGTATGTGACAGTCTATGATGTGCATGCTATTCAAGGTGACTATGTTATGACTTAGATTTCCTGATCCTTGCACAACGCTACTAAGCTGTTGTCCTCATTCATTCTCGAGAGGCTTCTGAGCAGTCTGTAATTGTTGTTGTCCACGGGTGAGACTAAGCACAACAGGGTAAGTTAGGATCCAGCTTTACTTCCATGACTTCCAGTCTCTGGCGAACGCTACCGGTGGAGAACCTAACGAGTCTTCTCAGCGTGGCCACCAAACGGCTTCCTCATATGATGTAGCATATGCATATACTACACATACAGATGATATGAAGACACAGTTCGCCTTTTCTTGTCCACGCACTTGTAATCAGAATGCAATGCTTTCCACTCACCCATCAGGTCTGCCTGAAGACGAGCCTGACTTTACCCCATGTGATTTCCTATTGATATCGATGAGCTATGGTCCGCAAGTGACAGGTTCGTGTCAGTCATAGTCTGTTCTTTGTTGATTCCTCACCAATTGGTCATCCTGGCGTTCTTTGTTCATCCTGCCTATCACAAGAAGCGATAGCAACAGTATGTATGAACTCGGCCCGTGGTATGATACCCATACAATTTCCACCTGCTCGCGATGATATGTTCATCCAGTAGTAAATGTTTCCATCTCCACACCAAGGCACTGCGATCTTATTCACAAGCTTTACACTCCCGTTACTCACATAGGAAAACCAAACAGGCAATTCTCATTCTACACACAATTGATATCTCACACACTCATGCCACTAGATCTCAGCGTCAACCAAATCATAATCATCTTCATCTTCATCTTCATCATCATCCTCTGCCTCCTTATCCCAGTCGACCTCAATCTACCACCAACAGTTCATCTCCGAGTCACCGCTAGTGGACCCACATGCGTCTCAGCAGCTGAGACAACAACTCTTCCATCCTCGTCAACTTGTGCTCCACTCGCACTACGAATAGTCGTTCCTGAGTAGTAAGTCAAGGCTCAAGACCATCGACGTATTTTTCCAATTTTCCTTTGTTTCAGCGTCCCAATTAATGGACGAGTTTTATATACCACATCATTTGCAACTGAACTACGGAAGAAGGCGATTCCAAGATCACTCTCGGGAACCTGCTGTAGTGTATAAAATTCTCCCGTGAACTGGGGCGCGATAAATACTGTAAAGAATGTCCACATCCTTCGGGTAATACTAGAAACGTCTTCATCATCATTATCTTCATCATCCATTGCTTCCAGCTCAGCCTCCAGCGCAGCAGCAGCTTTCTCCGCTCGCTTTTCCTCAGCGGCCTACAAAGAATGAACAAGTCTAGAAGTAACGATATCACACAACAACTACACTTGTTTTCGTTTCGCATAACACGCGATTTCGTTTGTTGTTTTTCGTATATCTCTCTCTCACCCAACAAGACTACAGTACAGACCAAGTCCTTATGCAATTTAACACCTTCGGGATGACTGGCCTCATTTACGTCAATCGGATCACACTGATGTTACCAAAATTCGATCCTCCGACTCAAGAAATAAGAGCCATCTCAACACTGTATGAACAGTATTACTTTTGCTTGAGCCATGGCCTGTGGCGCAATCAGCGACATAACATCGGGGTTACGAGTAAGCAGCTCACAGTTCAAACCGTTGGAGGTCACGTCCTGACAACACGCTACTACTACTACTACTACTACTACTACTACTACTACTACCACTACTACCACTACTACTACTACTGCATAGTAGACAAAACTTACATTATATTTCACTTTACCCGAGCTCAGCAGAACTTGTACAGTTTTTGCATGGCGTTTGAGTGGTCCAGCACACGCACGATGAAGTGGCTGGAGACCATCAGCGTGCTGATGCAGAGGATTCACATCCGAATCCAACAGAGCCTCCATCACTTTATATCGACCTACCAAAAAACATATCCACGTCTCTGAGAAGCACATGGACAGATGCAACACACAGCCACCTGATGATTATGTATTTATCATAGATCATGTTAGTTACTGCTAATACAACACTAAGGTTGGTAATACGCCAAAGGCCTTCATTATGACGTCGCAGTATTGGAATATATGTTTCCTTTCCTCAGCTGAGCCCAGAAGTTCCCTCACTGATTATAGGAGTTCATATACGAATTCGGGTAGGAGTGTTGAGAAACCAATAAGAGATTTCCGACACATGTAGTTGACCATATGCATATTTTCCCCCCACTGCGACCTCGCCGTTTCATACCGCCATACCATCATCTCACTTATAGTAACTCACTTCATCCAACAACTACTTATTATTATCAATATACTATCAAGTTTTTTTACTCCTAAAAACCGCATCCTCCTGTAAGTTTTCTTTCCTATACATTCCACTAAAATCAAGTAGTGTATTAGCCAAGTTTTGATCACTCTCTTCAATGAGAGTACTACTATGAGTCAACATAGACTACGTACAATAGTACTCCAAAACTTACCCTTAAAATAGCATATTCAGCGCCCAGCACTAGAGCCAGAATTCATAACTCATATACTCATATTGCGGAGCGAGCGGAGCATATACCGCAACAACAGGCACTTTCGCGCTGTGCGTGCGTGCGTGCAAAATTATTCTGGCTTAAAATGCATTATTCTGGCATAGGTCCCGGGGATCGAACCGGGGACCTATGTAAAATTCATTGATTGAGTCCATGGACGTGTACTCAGTGAGCTCCGCCCCTTCGCCACGAAGGCCTAGTGACAAGACGCCAAGAAAGCAGATACCATGATCGCGTTATAATTTCATTCATTCCTCAAAGACGTTATTTCTCACCTTGATAAGCCGCAGCATGAATTGGAGTGTATCCCTGACCATCGGCAATGTTGGGATCAGCACCATGCTGTAGTAGAAATCTCACCGCCCATGATTGTCCTAAGGCAACCCACTAACACGCATAGACACCAGTAGCCACTCGTTACCAGATATGCTCGCGGCCATCAACGCAGTGTGGCCCATACCACCCTTCTCATTAATCTTCTTCTCAGCTGAGGAATCCTCAAAGAATTGCTTCAACTGCATGATATCGCCTTTACGCGACAACGTGACCAGAACAGTATCCCCTAGCGGAATTTTCATAGGGCGATTTATTCTCTCGGACCCTCACCTTCAACGTCGTGGAGTTCATCAGCCATAGCATACGGATCGTCTTCAGATAGTTCACTTTGAGTCGATGCTCTCACAATGAGGATTTGTAAGACCATGGGCAGAACCATCATAGTGATCAGAAGACGCATTTCGAGAGAAAACTGAAACTTATCACATTGACGAAAAACGCCAGCATTTCAACGGTGTTGAAACCAGTCGCGATTGTGCAAGCTCATGACGTTTAGTATTAGTGCCTCAGCCAGGGTGCTCCAACCCTGGCAAAGTCCTGCGAAACACTATCATCAAAAACCTACCTACTTCTCACCATAAATCACCCATGCAGTTCGTTGATCTGTTCAGTGATGTACTCCAAGAACCGCTGATGAACGTCTAAGATCTCCACTCACCTTTGCAGTGCTGTCAACTTGCTACTGTTGCTTGCATCTCCAGCATAGGTTGAGTTAGCGAGCTAATGATGCATCTTGAAATAACACACCGACGTGAAATTCTCGGCTATGAGCTCCTATAGTTGACGTTACATATCTTCCAGTAGCTACCGCTCTCTCGCCATCGACTGGACATACCATCAAAATATCCCTACCAGAATTCGAACCCGCGACCTCCACCTTATCATTCGCTACCTCATCCCTGCCGCGCTATACTCCCGATAGTAATACAGAAGCAGAACCATTCACACTGACAACAAGGGCGCCCACATGCCGCAGGAGCGACAGCTTTCGTTGGTCAAGACTGCTCTTGCGTTAGACGAATTTGAACTTGCGCTTCCAAATTCATAAATTACATTTACAAATTTGAACTTCCATCCCGATAAAAAACTCAAAAAATGCATTTCGACAATTTTTTCTTCCATTTCCTGAATTCGAAATTGGCAAGGTGTACAAGTCTGGCAGCCACCACCACCACATGATCAACACTTTAAAGAGAATCACGAATTCGTAAAGCAAATGCCATCGTTAGCATCCACACCTCCAACTCGGGAAATTGCTGATTCCGATAACGACCAAAGTGTTTAAGAGTTTTCCTTCAGTTACTACTCACTATGAGAAAACGCCCTTGTGAGCTGCAGACCATTAATGTCTAAGGAACTCCAAGATCACTCACACTATAGTTGCCACTGAAAACACCATCACACATTGGCGCTAATACTACACTAACACGTATTGGTAAAACAGAAACGTGAGGTCATCCTTGGACGCGACGGCCACACAAGACAACCCGAAAAACACCGTTTTCACCCGGGTAAAAACAACAATTAAAGTGTTGTCGAAGGACAGTAAAAAAGATACAGTCTATGCTAACTGATGAATCAATTAAGAAAACGTTACAGCGTAGTAGTTTCATTTTCCAACCGCCGTTAACCTTCTTCTGGTGCGAAAATGGTAAAACGACGCCCATAAAGTGAATACCACAGTGAACAGAGCAACAACCACCCAAAGTCCTTTATACATTGTTGTTATTCGCAACCTCAACACGGTCAAGCCAATAAACGTGAGCAGAGCTTGTAGTCCATAACAGAACACGTTGTTAATCATGCATAGCATACCGTATAGATTCTCACCACCATTTTCCACTGTAGTATTCTTCATAACACGTCCGTTTTCAGCTTGGACGAAGGCGTTGACGAAATAATAAGTGGTGAAGTAGACCACGAACGAGCTGCACATTGGCACAATGCTTCCCCACCACGCCATGACAGTAACAGCAATCAGCGAGAACCAAGCAAATACACCAACTGTAATGTGCGGATGACTTTCAGCCCAGTTCGAGAGGCGCTTATAGGAGGCAACCAACGCCGAACATGTACCAAAAACCTGTGAAATAGCAACCACCGTGCCGTTGTAGTTAGGAACACCATCACGCGTTGCGATCACATCGTAAAGGGAAGTTTCATAGCCGTATAGAATACCATAACACGCCGCAGCTCCAATCCACCATATTATTATAATAAGATAGGGAAAGTGACCGTAGGACAACTCCAATGTTTTCCCAACCTCAGCAGGACGTGGGGCTTTAGGTCTGTCCACTGGCGTTAAGAAAAATACGACTACAGCTGATGTAGTCAAAGACGCCATTGAAACATACAGGAGTACATCATAGCTCAGATCCCATTGATTTAACATGAGATCACCGAGGACCCCAGAAGAACCATGCGAGCTGACGTGACATGCCAAGGTGTAGGAGGCGATTTTCTGATAGTCTTTTTTAGCGACCAAATGGAAAATGTAACCGTAGAAAATGACCTCAGCGGCTGACCCGCAGGCATAAAATGCTTGGCAGAGTTGCATTTGCCAGATTTGAGTACCAAAGAGTAAAAGTAATCTCGTTGCTACTCTTCCCAAAGAACCACAAAAAAGGACAATTCGATAACCCAGAAACTCCGCGATGAAGCCAGAGACGAAAATAAGAACAAGTGCTGAGTAGGTCCACACCGGGAAGATCTCATTGTTGATCTCAGCTTCAGTGAAGCCCTTTACTTGTCTTAGGAACGCGGGCAGATGAGGCTCCGGTGGTTTAAATTCCAACAGGAATATGTAAAGGCAGACCTTCAACGCTTCTAACTTGAACCGTCGGGCAAGTCGTAGGTCTACCACAGACTCTACGGTGTCATCAACATCTTCATCGACCACAGAACACGATATTGTTATGTCCACCTCGGGAGTATCATCATGTGTAACAACCATGAAAATAAGGAGTCGTGATTGAGAAAGTAAGGGAAATACTAAGAGCTGACAAAGAACGAGAGATCGTGTTTTTCAAGAGACCTCTTTCGAGTTACAACAGCACTTCCAGGATTGAGTTTCAAGTGCGAATTCCAATCCTAGAAGCGCTGTTGACGCTCAGGAGCTCCGGATGATCCTTGACCAACGGCAAGGACCTCTGGAAAATATTGTATTATTGACAAGTGCTAGCTTGTGTGTGACTGAAGTCTGCCATGTGGCTTGCCCTGCATCACTCACATTTGCACAGCTTTGTGTTATTGAATTTTGGCACTTATGTTATTGTAAATGTAACAAAAATGTCGCGCAGCACCCGTAAGAATATCATGACTATGATCATGCGCTGATGTATGAGTTTCATATCCTTGTACAAGTTTCTCAAGTACCGAGCAACGTAGGACCGCGGCGGAATCGACGAGTATATCGGATTCGCTAAATAATGTCCTTATCGAGATGGAATGGTCTCTACGGGATTTCTGATTGGCATTGGAGAATTAGCGCAATCAGTTATCGTGTTGATTTGTAAAGTGAGATCGAAGAGCGAATGCCGAAGACGCATTCCGCGTGTGATGCCGACTGGTCGTCCAAGGGGACTAGAGGGTTCCGAGTGAATCGGTTCGATACACCTAAGTTGGTGACGTAGGGAAGAAAAACCAACTCAACTGGTACCTTCTCTGCGGATGGAGGTGCGAAAATCCGATACGCAATAGAGCCTACGCAATATTCGTCCCTTTTACGGTTAGCGTGCTCAAGCTGCAGATCGACCTTGAAGGGGTCTACGACTATGTCTTAGTCGTTCGATTTAAGTTATGCTAACAAAAAATGAGCTCATCGATCGACTGGGCGCGCGCGAAATCGTTACCAAAGTCGCGCGCCACAAAATTGTCTCCGGGCGGTTAGCTTCACTTTGAACCCGTGACGGGTCATCCGTCGTCAAGTGAAAACATCACTCTTTAGGTGCACAATTTTTTCACGACGATTTGACGGTTTCATGGACGATGGTCGATCCGGGTGGGTGAAACATTCGCAATTTATACGTCACAAAGAATTTCCGCAAAAGCTAGTCTTGCTACTTTACTCAAGTTCGGTCACCGTTTTCTTCGGATCAGGTCTCATCTCGTGAACCAAACTTGGCATCGCGAAGCCGTATCGCGGTTTTCGGTCCAACAGTAGAGCTACCTTTTGTGACAATGGCGCGCGCGGAAGATTTTCAGTTTTTCATGACTTGCGTATCAAACACGATCTCATCGTTGTAATGGATTTTCGCGCGTTTTACGTCTGTGACAAGCCCGGTATTCGAAATATGAAGTATTTCACGGAATACGTTTTCCCACTACTGTTCTTTACGGGTGAAACTCCAGTGTTTGCGTAGCGCACGAAATTGATTTCACTGCATCCATCACTCGCAATACTCTTCTGTTTACTCTCAGTTCTCGCGCATATCAAATCGATAATGCAAAATGAGGAAAATGTCACTACACTGGAGGACAAGCCCGATCTCGTCAACATTCAAGATTCCACTTCTCATCTATCAAAGCCCCCCTTAGGAAATGTATTCACATGCTGGACCGTCTTAGCGAAAACTATGGTCGGCACCGGTATGCTCACGTTGGCTTATGGGTTTTCCAAATGCGGTTGGGTTCTCGGTTTCGTCCTCCTTATCTTCGCCGCAGTAGGCGCTGTATTCACATTACATCTACTAGGGTGTTTGGCAATGCGTTCTCAAACAAGACATGTCAGCTTCTACACTGTTGCTGAAGACTGCGCACCATGGTCGCGATGGATCGTCGATTTGGCTATTGCTATCAAGTGTATCGGTGTTGGAATTTCTTACATTCAAGTCTCCTCCGACACAATTTCCCTAACGATTAATACACTCGGTGGGAACTTCATGAATCAAACTCTTTTACGCGATATCATTGTAGTTATACTCGTCCTTGTCGTGTCACCAATATGTCTCGCAAAAAGCATATCTCGTACAGCTATTGTCAATGTCCTCGGTCTGGTCTCGGTATTTTACGTTGTTATACTATGTGTCTGCTTCATTCGATTAGATACTCCTACTCACATTTCACTACCACACTCTTCGAACTTTTTGACCGTCTTGTCAGTTTTCCCCACTTTCATTTTCGCTTTCACTTGTCATCAAAACGTCTTTTTATGTGCTGAAGACCTCAAAAACAGAACTCAGAGAAAATTAGATATCGCCGCGTTCGCTGCTGAAGCTATTGCTCTTTCTTTTTACATAGTGGCAATAGTCTTCCCATACTTGACATTCGGTGACACGGTATCCTCCAATTTTCTCTTATCGTATGATGCCCACAACCCCGCCGTTATGGTAGCATATCTCTTGCTTGGTATAGCCGAGACTTGCGCCTTTCCCTTACAAGTTCTTCCAGCGAGGAAGTCATTAATTGTACTCGCTTTCCGCGGGAAAAGTATATCACCGCGAGCAGAGTTATACTCGCGTTTAGGAGTAGGAACGGGCATTCTTCTGTTGACTATCGTTGTCGCTCTGAGTGTCCGTAGTCTCGGAGTGACTTTATCTTTCGTCGGAGCAGTCGGGTCCAATACTGTAACTTTTATCATGCCATGTTTCCTTTATTGTATGGCCATTCACAAGGCAGGGTCACCCAAAGGCGTGAAATGGGTGTTCTCTGCAATACTATGTATAATTGGTTTGATTATACTTCCTTTATGTTTGTCGTCGTTAATTTACGAAACAGTTTCGAAATAGGAAAGTTATGGTCATGGTCTCCGAGTCTTGTAATTCTGCTGTGGTATTTTCTGATTATTTCAATTTTATTGAATTTCAGTCTGGTCTATTCGTTCGGTTGTGTTGTAATGTAGAATGTAAAAATGTTGTAAATGTTAGAATGTTGAAATGTAAATACAAGTCGATTCACATGGTAATAGAAACATGCTTATGGAATCTTTACTTCTTGTAAAGCTGGCCATAATCAGTGAAATCAATTGTCATTCCACAACACTGAAAAAACCAATAACGTAACTCACGATGAGTAATTCACCTGCTCCATGAACGAATCAATGCCACCGAGATCTTCCTCTAGCTTCTCGAGCATCCATCTCCTCGAGTCAGTGTCTGATGTGTCCTGAACACTCCGCAATGAATACGGCGAATATCCAGTGGGAGAACAATGCACATGCTCAACTTGGCTCGTGTGTTGGTGATAATATGAAAACTTAGGAGAAATTTGGCTGAATTCTTGTTGGTTTTCACCTGAATTCGTATAAATAAAGATAATTCCTCAGAATTTTCATATTGTCATCACCAACACATGTCGTTGAGCGTTTATATTCGTTTACCCTAAGCGTGTCCTTGGACGTCAAATCAGTAGGATCACTGTACTCGAACAGTCGGCTCAAATCTATTTCCGAAAAGTATCTACCAAACAAATAAGGCAGGAGACAATTATTGTTATTCATTCAGATTAATTGATATATCAATTATTCTATTATCATTCAGATTCAGTTCAGATTCGACAACCAAGGTAGAAACGAGCAGACTAAGAGCACTTGGAACTGCTCCCCTCACGTCGAAGGGTTGGAGCTCGGACCCTAGCTGCTTGACGGTCCTCTACTGTACGGCAAGCAGCCAGAGACCCCCCAGTAACAAGGGATGAGATGAGTGGGTTGAGTTCGAGTTGATCTGGCCTTAAAGGAAGATATACGGTATCTTCCATGCATGATGTACACACTGCTTTGGATCACTCTACTGCAACTTGGTAGACATTCGCAACTCACCACAATTATATTGTAATGAGAAGCGAATGTCTTGAATATTTCATTTACTGCCTTAACACAGCGAACCTTCCAAAAAAGCTTTTGGCGAAGATTTGCCTTCGTGCCTTGTTTAGATTCAATCTGATGACAACTTACTTCGCTTGATCTTTATCCTCTAGAATGACTTTTGAATCACCGATTTTAGTGACCTCTCTCTGGAAGATTCTCTCTTCAATTGTGCCTGAGTACCTTCATAACGACTAAAGCAGCGAGCAGTGATGAACTCGGCACTCCTCTCTAGTGGAGGAGAGAGTGTTACCCCTGAGAAAGACAACGCTACAAAGATCTACTCCTACCGCTGCAAACAAGCCTATAAGCAATAACGTCACGTCTCTGACCAATTCGATACGCTCGAGCCACAGCTTGCTGAAAATATAACAAAAATTTCGCGTAAAATTCGCAAAAATTTTCATACGTCATCATCACTAGGATTCCAACTTGGACTGATCAGCACAACTCTGTCTGCCGCAGTAAGAGTAAGCCCGACATGGCCGCATCGCGTCGAGAGAACAAATGCGAAATATCTGACAACAATAACTCAGCGAAATACCTTAGAATTTCTGTAAGTCACTTTTTGGAGTTTTGAAATTTTCTGATTTTTCGTTGCCGATCACTTGAAGGGGTACTGCCATCGATGCGGAGACAGCTCATCCCGTCGGTCCTCAATATAGTATACTGAAAGTAAATCAGAAAAAAAGCCTGCCGCATTCTGCACTCACCTGAACTAAGTCTAACATGCTAGTCCAGGGGCAGAATAGGAGAACACGGTGACCATTCTCCTTAAGTCGGCGTAGTAAGCAATGCAACACCTGACATGCGGTGACACCAGTAGGAAGTGTTGGAGGGAAATATGTTCGCTTTCCTCAGCTGAGCTCAAGAGCTAGTCATAAAAGTTGGGTTAGAAGTGTACAGATATCAGCAAGAATTCCTCAAAATTTCCTCAAAATTTTCACGTAAGATCGGAAAATACTTGAAGTTTTGAGCTCAATGCTTCGATCTTCCGACCATCATCTTGTGGCAGAGCGCGAATCATGTGCTTGTAATTGTCCATCGCTCCGTCGTCGTTGTCAATCCTGAAAAGCACCACTTTGAGAAATTTTTCAAAGTTAACTCACCAGGTAACATCCTCGTCGTCATCATCATCCTCATCGTTATTATCCTCATTTTTTGCTATGGAAAGTTGTAGGTCATCTTTCTCCACATTCTGCGGAAGCGCATCCAAGCTAATTCCAAATGCTGTTCGCCTAAGATGACACTTCATCCCCAGTGTTACAATCCAGGATCATTCAGGAACCTACAATATTCCCGGGGAAGTCATTTTCAATTTTCCACAGATGGCTAGGAACACATTCTTCAATCAGTTTCCCACGTAAATGTTATCATCACATTAGCAACATCATTTTCCTCAATGTTATCAAATCTTAGGGAACGTTATTTCTCAAAGCTAAATCAGGCATCCGGGGTTGAAAATTTACATGATATGTTTTGCTTTTTTTCGTAAGAAACTCACTTACCATTTTTGCTCAGCTGGTGGCAATAGAAATAGAGGATGGTTACAAAGAGTCCTCAGTGTAGAGATACAGCGAAGGACATGCATGCCCTTGCTACCATCTCGATTATTGGAGCAAGCTCGACGTACTTGCTGAAAGCGAACTATGGTTAATGCCGAACCCAACAATACAAATATATGACCACTCTGCTCAGCTGAGCTCGGGAGTGTTTTCAAAAACCAACAAGAATTTTCTCTAAATTTTCCACCATATAATTTCGTGGTCTCCGTCCTTTGTTGCTGTTCTACTGAGGCACTGCGGCATTCGAGAAATATATCAGAACTACGATGCAAGATGTAATTCGCATCGTGTCTCAAATTGCAACGGTTCTTGTTGTCGATGAACTGACTGCCCTATACGCAACTAAGAGATCAATCGAACAAACCACCACGTAAAAAGAATAAAAATTTAACCATGCGTAAATTTTTCCCCCCCTACACTGGAGTTCTTACTCGCGTATTGAGATACTCTTTATAAATATCCAACTGCTCCTCTGAGAGTCCTATCCATACTATCACCTCCAATTTGGAAACCTGAGCAAAAACAGAGTCGCTCGTGTCACCATTTTCAAGTGTGTCACATCTCCCTCTGTTATCTCATCAACATATTTTTCCCTTCGCAGCACATAGTCGTATATAACAGCGTTCAGCTCCTCCACGGCTAAGTCTTTATTTTTTTCCTGAATACCAAAACTTGAATATATATTTGGTTTCCTCAGTGGAGCTCAAAATTTTCCTCAAATATTATTGGAATTTACAGTAAAACTTCACAAAAACGAACGAAATTTTTCCACAATTTACAGGAATATTTCCAGCTCGGGAATTTCCTGACTATACTATAGGAATGTACACAAGATTTAGGGTGAAAAATCACAAAAATCAACGTAAATTTTCTGGAAATTTCAGGAATATTTCCAGCTCGGGAATTTCCTGACTATATTATAGGAATTTACACAAGATTTAGGATGGAAAATCACAAAAACTAACGTAAATTTTCTGGAATTTTCTGTAATATTTCCTCATATCGCGTGAAGCAGAATACCACAATCTACTAAGTGTTAAAGTCACCTGAAGCTCAGTGGCTTCGCGACGATTCCCTCTTTTGATAACTTCAGCGAACTTGTTTTTGAAAACCGCAAAGTCTCCCAGAAGGCCCGGTACGGCTGCAAAAACCAGTCAAAAGCAGTAACGAAAACTGACATACCTATTTCCATTAAAGCCCACAGGTCGCAAGGAGTATTCTGTATCGGCGTGCCAGTGAGCAACAACCTATAGGGAGAGCGCGAGCAAAACGAGCGGAGCATATACCGCAACAACAGGCACTTGTGCATGCGTGCAGAATTATTCTGGCTTAACTAGCGAGCGTAAGAGGCCACCAGATAGATCAAACAACGACTCCTCTACATGCCAAGGTTTACTCGGCAAAAACCGTAATACTTAATGATGCGAACAGTTCAAAGAGATGTGGACCAAGAGCTTTTTTGATGGAATAATGTCATATATGAAATTCATTGATTGGAGTTTCACCACCCTAGTGATATGAAAAACATATTCCACGACTACTGCATATCACCGCGAATATCGCCTTTTTCACCGAGTTTTACGACGCCACTCCACGTAAAACAGGTGAAACTGTACTTATTGTTATAAGATGCAAGATTCAGGATGGAGTTTCATCCATGATATGAAAAACACTAGTAAAAAACATATTTCATATTTCACTTGGCGAAAACATGCCCGAGTATAAGCAGTGAATATCGCGTTTTTCACGACGCCACTTCACGTAAAACGGGTTGTGAAATGCCCCTTCCTTATGAAGACCTAGTAGTAGTATTATCGTCCTTACACACTTTGACTTAGCTCTCATGATAGTAGCGTGTTGGAAGAGGGCCGTTCGAGGATTCCTCATCCGCTGAGCCTCGTCATAAACTATGATGTCCCACGGCACTCTGTCGCTTTCCTCCCACATAGGAGAGGCATTCTCATCACAAGCTGAATATCTAAACTCAGCAAAAAAATGATCACCAAAATTACAAAAACTCCTCTTACAGTGGCAGGTTGTCGTTTCGTATGAATGTTTGATTAGCAATGATGATGCAATTCCGAGCCAGCCAAGATTGCCTAACACGACTGATGCGAAAATTCAACTCGTGGAAAATTTTACTTTAATTTTTTCTCTCTCTGACTTGCCGAATTGTAACCACAAAGTGAAATTATATGCCAATTTCCGCACCACTGCGAGGTCTCCTTCTCCCATGTATCTACCACATGCAATGTTAAGGGAATATATGTTCGCTTTCCTCACCTAAGCTCAGGAGGAGTTCCCAAAGCTAATTATACAAATTCGGGCAGAAATGTGCAGAAACCAATGAAAATTTCCTCAGAATTTTCATATTGTCATCACCAACACATGTAAAAAGTATTTTCGCATACGAAAATTCTACCATGTCGGTGGAACCAGGCGAATCGGGCGGCATCACATGACGAACGCAAGGGTAGCCGATGGATCAAACTCCAACTAACATTGAGAAGACTCACCTCGCAGAGACTTCTCACACAGTATGAGCACTCTTGAAGCTAACCGGCCCTTTAGAAGGCCACGCAGGAGCACACAGACCTATTCCAATTTATACAAAAAAATTCACCAAAAAATCACCAACTTGTATGGTTTTTCCCATACCCATGATATCCGCTAAAATTCCTCCTTTTCCTCGTTGGAATAGTTCATACAACCACCTTACCACGCGGCCGTCAAAAAGTTCATAACCAGTCGAATCTCACTTCACGCCTTCTTTTTGATAATCATAAAGTTCTTCGTATTTTTTCCGTTCGACTTTCCATCCTCCCGGTAGTCTAGCATACCTGGAAAACACCAACATGGATGCCATGCCCTAGTTCGCGATCGAATATAATATGAACATGGTCAACTACATGTGTTGGTGACAATATGAAGATCTTCACTTTAAACTTTCAATTCAATCGATTTTGATTTTTAATTTTAATTTTTTCAATTCAAATAACAAAATTTGAAATTTTGAGGATTTTTTGCGGGAATTTTTTGCCATTTTCTCAACATTTCTACCCGAATTTATATGTCAACTTCTAAGCTCAGCTGAGGAAAACGAACATCTATTCCTACTCCAACGCTGGTCACAGCTACACAGTCTTGTCCCAGAGCTGATTTATGGGTACTAGCTCAGCTGTATATATAGTAGGCGTCACCCGAAGAGTTCGTTTCACGTTACCGACATAACCTTCTACTCGACTCGTAAAGAATTTGCAAAAAATACTTCGAGAATTTGGTCTTTAACAAATTCAAACAATATCATGGTATGAAATACAGGGCGCAAAATCTATGTGACAGGTGACACGAAATAGTGGCTACTGTAACTATATTTCCCAATCTTATTCATTGAAATTTCACCCTAGTGATGTGAAAAACATATTTCGAGACTACTGCATATCACCGCGACTATCCGCGTTTTTCGCCAACTTCACGTAAAACGGGTGAGACTCCATTGAACTAGTCGTGAACTACTTCTACCAATACCCCTACTTCTTATCGATAGTGTAACCGTACTGATCGATTTCCTCAGCAACATTTTCCTCATTCTCTACCTGTGGGGTTCTTATCAAATCGCTGTCGGGTTTCTCTGTTTCAGAAAATACCATCCCTCTGCTGAATATCATCATCACTTACCTCTATTAAACAAAGTGGCCACTCCTCTGCTATGAATAGATTCCCTCCTACTCTCCGAGCCACGCCCCAACCTTAAGTCGAAATTATAATATTTACAAAATCAACCAAAATTCAGCCTACCACTCCTCCGTCGAATCCCTCCTCAAGCCCTTCTTCAATCGCCTTCCCACACTAGCTGCTTCCTGACTGCTTATTCCAACTTCTCCCTCACTTTTCGCATCATCGATGATTTCGAGACCCTCCATCGAGTCGAACAGATTTCCCTTGCCAGTCACCTCCGACATGTTCGACAGCACTTTGCTGTTTTCTCCTCGAATCGAATCAGAATATTTTCTCCCAATATCAGCCCCGCTGCTCTCCACAGCGATTCGCGGCGATACACTTTGCCTTACTAGACCCGATCTCACAAGCTGCTCATCGTCAGCAATACTCAACTTTCTTCCGGAGCTCAATTCGATGCTATTATCATCCAATCTCCGCCGTTCCGTTCCCGGAGAGTTTATTTCACGAACACCAGAGCGTGAGTTCTCAACCCCAACATGGTCAGTGGAACTCTAAAGAAATCGGCTAGGCATGAGCACTCATCATCCTGAAAGTCAACACCTACACTGTCCGCTAAGGAGCTCGAAGCTTCGCTGTTCTCATCAGAATTTTTGCTTATTTGAGAGCAGACCGAAGAGCCCTGAATGATCTTGTCCCACAGAATAGCTAATATCCGACTTACTTCCGATGACATGTCTTCTTCGTCTCGATCGTCAATGAAGTCGTTGATGTTGGAAGAGCGTCGAGCCACTGAAAGAAACCCCCTGTTGGGAAAGAGGTTGGTTTTCCCTCAGCTAAGTTGGGAGACTTCCTTCACTAATTATAGAAGTTTCAACACGTCTTGGGGGCAAAAGTGTAGAAAAATCTGTAAGGAATTTCCGGAAATCTCCTCAGAATTTTAATATCATCACCACGCTGGTAACGCGAAAACACTGACAAATTTTTTTCTTACTTTCTTTCAAATTAGCAGGCGAGAGTATAGAAACTCGTCGCGTCGAGGTAGAAGTCGTTTGCCTCTGAAAGTGACTTCAACGACGACTTGTGATCATAAAATTATACCGGTATGAATTGGAACACATCCTCCCCCTCTATTGAAGTGAAAGAGCTGTCAGTAGATGTAGGGGAAGAGGCACTAGACATGTGTAAAGGGCAACCCTAACTAACAGGTTGAGTTCACTACAGTAGAAGTTGACAACTGCTCGGTAGAGACATCCCATGGTTCGTCGATAGCGAGTAATGATTACCAATGTGAGATGGTCGACCACATGTGAATATTTGAGGAAATATTTGTTGTTGCATTGTTGCTGGATAACCCCACAATTGTTCTGGGAATGATGATCCTGATACTCCCAAATCTATCTTGGGGTTGTCCAGCATGCTTCGTGATGCCTACAAGTATCCAATGGCGAGCGAAGGATACAATGAAAGATATGAATAACGCACACAGAAGATACTACTGGACAATAGGTTGGAATAGGTTAATTATTATTTAGATATCGACGATAACTGTAAGATACCGACCACGTCGGTATCTTACAGTTATAGCCGGGCGGTTATGATGAGGTAGCAGTTCTTCGCCTCATATCCTATTGTTGAACTATAATATTATTATTCTCGCTCGGATGCATCTATCGTTTTGGATACGATAAACGGTTTAATCCGTCTCTGGTTTTCTTTTTGCTAGTTAAGTGAAACTAGTTGGTAATTGTTAGGCTGGACTGAGTCCAGTGACTGATTGTGTGATCTGCTACCTCATCATAACTCTAGTTCAACTCTAGTTCTGTCCTCACTAGTATCGCATCGTAATCTCTATTGCCTCACTTGATCGTGTTACAATCTACACGGGATGTTGCTTAGATCTGGAATGAAATTGTCTAACAATGATCGCTGTGCATTTTCTCATTATTCAACAGGTTTAACTCCCTCTACACCTCCGTCTAACAACGCGACTGAACCACCAAGAAACACATCTACTTCGAGACCACTACTGATTTCTTCTAGCTCTGCTCTAAGTCGTCCCGTACATGCTACAAAACGGGCGAGCGAGAATCTTTCCGTAGTTTTTTGAACATTTCTTTGGACAAATGCATTTTGCCACTACATCCCCCCTCCCAGAGAAACGGCAAGCATATAGTGAAAACAAAATGAATGATATCGTATTACCACTCATGAGACTAACACTGGTGATCATTACTTTGCTGTTGATATTTGCATTCAACTCTGTGAGTGGATGGATCAATTGTTATTTAAAGATGTTCCTTGTATTTATTGGAAACGGCTTTGACAGATTGAATCTTTTATTGTTAGTGGTAAGTTAACTCTAAATAGAGACCATTGTAATTCTTTGCACGTTCCTTATTCTCATCCTGTAAAAAGATGTGAAAGACAGCGGGTCGTTCTGCCTCTGTTTCTTAAATATTTTGTCATACAATATGAGCGATGGGATCATCAGAAACAGCGAACGTAAGTCTATCTGGTAAGTATAATGGTATCGCATCAAACTCTATAGAACCTTTACATTTTGCATTTGCACCAGTATATCATTCCCATCATCATCATCATTAATATCATTGTCATTAATATCATTGTCATTAATGGTAGAAACGAAAAGAACAGTATAACTCTCATCCATTGTAACCATCACGTCCTCGTCATGAACCAGCTCATCATCAGGAAGTAGAAATGGCTCATCATCAATCTCATAAGTAGCTTGCAAACGTCGAAGTTCACCATTCAGTGAACTTCGACGAGGCTGGGCTGAGGCGACGTGAAGAATGGACCATTCTCATTTTCATGAATCCAGGCGACTCGCCGAGATACATCAGGCCGTCCTCGAAGTTGTGCTTTACACTAACCCAAAAGCATCATCGGCGTTACACCATCCAACAACAGAAAGGTTCTCCGATGATTTCATTATCCCAGAACCAAAGAGCTTGACACTCTGCAAATAGTCATACCAGCCTAAGACCTGTGCATACGTAATCTTCCTCTCAATCAGCAGCTCTTCACATTTAGTCTGTAACTCACTATCTGCAATAATATTGCAGCAATATGTCGTAAAAATCGCACGTTCTCTACAGCAATACCAAAGGCTTGGGCAATCTGCAAACCAACAGGGCTTAAGAGAGTTGTAGTCGGCTTCTCCAACATGTTAAGCATTTGAGAACTCAGGGCAATGGTTAATGAAATCTAGAGATTCTACCTGCAATCGCACCCATGAAGTCATCAACTACTAGTTGACAACTAGCTTCGAGCTAAGGAGTTAGCGATTCTGGTAAGGTACCTCTTTTCCCATAATATGGGAACATATTATATCGGTTCATACTGATCTCTCCTGTTCGTCAATCGCGGGCTGGCCTTCTATCGTTAACTCTCTACGACTCCCTCAACACTCAAAGTCGAGATATTGGTCATCGGAACTGCTACCGCCTAAGTCGGGCATTAACTTGAGGAAAAAAAACTGTCCCCATGAAACGGTTGAGCATGGGTGGGGCCAGTTGTGAGAGATCCCACTATGTCAGCGACCACGAAATCTTCGGTTCACGGTTTACATGGGAAGACTAGAGGAGGCATACTTCCCGCTATCGTCTTTGAGGAGGAACACTTAGTAAGTGTCACTTACAGTTGCACGGAGTGTAGCGAAGTCATTCTCACAATGCGCACGCGGCGTGCCGCCATGAAGTCCCAGTGGTCAAGATCCCATCAACCGTTATGAATGGGCCTGTTTCATAAGAAGAAATTGCGCCTTGAGCTCGAGTAACTCCTCAAGTATACCTTAACTTAAGGTCCTTAAGTAACTCCGTAACTTGCTCCTGAAATTGAGGCGCCTCACATTAAATATACTTGTGAAACAGGCGGCCTGTTACAGGCCCAATGTACACTCGTGAGTCATGGAAGTTTTCTTGGGGAATTGGTGATGTGGCCTCCATCATAACCCCGCAACAAGGTTTTCCCCGTCAAATACATCAGTGAATCATATAAGCCACTCGCGGAGAAAGTAGGCTGATACATGGATCAATAACGATTCAGTAGGGAGAATTGATCGATTCACGTGTGCAAGCCAGCTTGGACGTAACCTTTAGGGAACCAGTCACAACACCTGACGATGTGGTCACCCTTCCCAGGTTGCTCAGCGAGAAGAAATGCAAAGAAGATAGAAATAGTCGGTGATAATACCAGATAAATCGTATAATCTATGACTGTAATGACTCATTACAAATGAAAGCATGATACATAGAGGGAGCAAGTGAAGGCAATGATGTACACGTGAGTCACAATTCGTCACATGATGCGGCGAGGCTAGAAAGTAGGAAATCTAAGGTCCGAACACTTAGGGTCGTAGATCAGGAGAGAATCCATAAAGAATAAGTATCGAGAACTCACGCTGATCGCTCATCAGTGGAGCGATTGGTCACTTAGTCGTATTTTTGCCCCATGTGGGAGGGAAAGCAGAACGCCA